TACATTGGAATTCTTGTGCGTATCTCCCAGAGTCATTTTTATAAAATCGAGAGACAGAGGAGAAGAGATGATTAAAGAAAATATAAAATAAAAATAAATAAAAGCAGCAAACACACTACTGTAATTGCAGGACAGAGTACGTAGATACACACTGTGTACAGATGCATATACAGGATACAGACTGCATGGCCAGGGTGGATGAGTGAATTATTTCACAGAAATAATTTTAAGACAAAAGTGGAATATTGCACGCTTGTTAGGCTATTGCACTGAAAGAGTTACCTACCTAAGAGGAAGACAGAATGAGAGTGAGGTTGTAGTGCTCTGATGTGTCTGATTGCCTCCTGTCCAGGTAATGTCCATGGGGGAAGTGGGGGGGGCTGTATTTTTTACCCACCTTAATGTCATTATAGCCATCAGTTTAACTGTGGCTGGAAACAAGCTGTTGTAGAATCGTGCTGTAGGTGGTCATGCTCTCTGGCCTGTGGTGTCTTAGGTTGTATCCTGTATTGGTTTTTGTGAGTGAAGGTTTGACACACAAGTTCTCCATAGTTTGGCTGCAGTGCCGCCGCTGACATGACAGCACATGTACGGTGGTAAATTTGAGCCGACGGGGCACCTTTGTCCAGAGGACACACGAGCTGGGTCTCCGCTCTGTTCACGCTTTGTTCCCAAAGCTGAAATTTAAGTAACAGCCACAATTAAAGAAGAGCTTCTACCACCTTGTGTGATCCAATGCCACCTGAGCGTGGCCAGTCCGCCTTTGCCCGGCATCTGTCGGCAGTCTCCGATCAGCAAGCGGAGATTTATTCATCCGTATCGTAAGGGAGACGGACAGGCTTGGTTGTTTTCATGACCAGAGGACCCAACTCTGTCCCTTCAGACTGGCCATGGTGATGCCTGACATGTGTAATGATACTGGGAAGGAGAACTAAAAGGCAACTTGGCCAGAGCTGACTGGCTTGGTTCTGTTGGGGAGTGACTGAGCTGAAGAAGCTAACCCTAAGTGTTACTCAGTACCAAGAACACAAAGATTGTATTTGTGGTTTGGGCAGGACTAGTCACCGGAACTTGCCTCCCAAGAACGAACTTGGGCCACAATGAATCTAGGGATTGGTCTCGTTCGGCGAGGATGCAACCAATGTATCCATGATATTTGGGGTGTGGCAGAAACAACATCTGGGGATTTATACTGTCCTCTGTACCTCTAGCAGTGGAAGATGATGTAAAATGGTTAAACGAGAACACGAGTATGGTCAAGTATGAGTATTGAGAAACATCGGGGCCTAGAGTCCAACTGCGATTCATCTTCGGGGATTTTATCAAGAATCCCAGGCAAATTATCAAATCCACTTAAACTCCCACTCCATCACAAGGGGGACTTTTGAGAGATCAGCTGAGGCAGCTCCAAAAAAGAACATGTATCTGCCATCTGTTCGTGCTGGTGTGTGTATGCGCACGTCTGCCTGCGGATGTCAAGGCATGCAGCCAGGACTGCACATTTCTGCATCGCTGCTGCGTGTGGCTGCATTGACTTTCCCTCGTCCTCACCACATGAAGGCAGCTCGCTGTTCACGCGTCACGGACGCTCTCGCATCGCAAACGGGCTCGCTGTTCCGTCGCGGTGACGTGGCCCCGGACCAGCCACAGGCCTGCAGGAACACGGCCCATGCTGTGTCTGCACTAACGGAAATGTATAGCGCCTTTGGGCACTAATGTACGGACTCACTGACTTCTGCTTCAGCATTGCGTCTCCTCCCCACCCGCTGCTAGGGTGACCACCTAATCCATGTCAGGAGGGACACTATGAGCTACTTCAGCTTTTACAAACTACTTTAAACCTGAAAGGCTCCTGTGTTCAGCTAAATTGTTTGGTTCATCTTGAACTTTTACTGGTTTGTTTCCTTAACTGAAAGATTCAAATTAGTGACACGTGCATGATTATATGACACTGACCAATCAGCATACAGCAAGAACTCAGTGCTAACATGAAGTCCAAGTCCTTCTAATTGAAATGGGTGAAATGGTAGTTTGCAAATCCTGTCGTAGCTCAGTGTCCCTCCTGACAGGGATTAAGGTGGTCACCTTACCTGGTACACAGTCCCTCATGTGTAGCACTGTTCTCTTGGTAAGTCAGGCTTCCATGTGCTCCTGTGCCTCAGGAAAACATCAGCACCTTTTTGTGTAGAGCCACTGACATATTTCACATTATATTACTGGGCAAATGTCCCGGTGAGAAAGTAGCTTGTCAAGAATTGATTCAGTGTTTGAGGGACAGAGGGTAAGGTCATTTTTGGAAAAGTCTGGTGCATCTCTGCATCGAGCGATTGTTTGGCGGAGTTTGTTACTAACCCGACCTGGTGGTGAGCTGAATGCCCTCGTTGAAGGGTAACTAACCGGCACGACGGAAAGGGGCCTCACGCCCACAATAAGGCACCCTTTAGCCTCTAATAAACTTCCTTTTTGCAGCCCTTGAGGGTCACTGCGCACTCAGGCTGCAAAGTTTCCCACCTTGACCATGCGGGCAGCCACAGACCCAGAGGCATGCTGGGAGAACTCAGCGGGAATGCCTGGCTGTCCTGCCCCAAGTGCCTAATGCTGTCTGTACTCTAACGGCAAAGGCATGCTTATGGTGGTTTTACATCAAGAGCCTCACAATATAAACTCTGGGTGCACTTTTCACGCAGCACCGGGTAGGACCCAGTCTCGTCTCCGAGTTTGAGTTGTGTTTTCACAGTCGCTTTTCTGCACGGTGCTGTTGTTCTGAGTTATTTTTTTCACCTCTGGCCTTCCTGTTACCTTTTTTGAGTCTGCTCCTCAGACATCTGCTATTAATAAGATGTTTTCAGTCACCGAACTGCCGCTGAAGAGATGTGTTTTTGTTTATCACGTCATTGTCTGTAAACTCCTAATACTGTAGTGTGTGACAATCCCAGGAGGACGGCTGTTTCTGACATGCCAGAACCACCAGGCCCAGTTACTCCTTCAGGCGTCTTGCCCACTCTGATGTCGAGTCAAATGGCAGCCGGGCCTCTCCAATGTGTCTGTGTTGTTTATTTATGGAGCGGCTTCCACATGATTTTCTGTTTGCAAGAGCAGGCCAACGGCTGTGTCATTTTGGTAATAGGTTACAATAAGATCCAGAGAGATTGCTGTGAAGTCACAGCCCAGTAGGTGGCGCTGTGGAGTGGTAAACACCAATGCTCTGTTTTTGAAGTCTCATTCAGTACTATCGGTGTGGTAGACAGGGTGAGGTTAGTGTGATGAGCTTGCTGGCATTTCGGTCATGTCATGGGAAAGGTGCTGTTTTTTGGTGCTGGGTGTCGGGGGGGATAGAGATAGCTCACCCCTAGGTGGCCTTGGGGCTGTTTCCACTGCCCCCTCTTATTATTTGATTATTATTTGATTAGCATGACGAGACACCAGCAGCGAGCGAGCACATTTGGTCATGTGGTTGCTTTATGGATCGCCAGCCCAAAGTGAACCATACCCAGGCAACAGCTCAGTGTCCGAACTGGGCGAGGGGGTGTTTGTGGGGGGGGGGGGGGGGGGGTTGTTCTGAGTGTAACCATAGCCTGGATAAGTCACATGAGCTTAACCTTCAAAGGAAAAGCGGTCTGTGCAGCAGGAAGGAAATTGGCAGGAGAGCATTTTGAGGAAATTATGGGAAGGCATTGTAAATGTATCTATCTGTAATATAGGTCTGATTGCATCATTGTGTCGGATTTAAGGTACCACAGTTTAAATGGACTTCATATTTGTTCACTTACATTTTGCCCAGATTACCTTAAATCCGACAAGTTACCCCGATAAGCCAGTAACCCCGCTTCGTAGTGCAGGCCACAGAGAAAGTGCGATCCGAGCCTTGGTGCCGTTGTTAAAGGCCTGTGTGAGGTGTGCTCTGAGTTAGTGGCCTCACAGCGGCTTGGGTAGGAGGAGAGCAGATTCGTGTTACGTCTGCATGGCTACAGCACAGCTCTGATGTCATGCTGCTGCTGTCACCGCAGAATGGACTTTTGGCCCCGCCCACTCACACTAACCGTATAGGTGTCCTGGTTTGTGTAACAGAAGCTGTCGTCTTTAGAAGTCTTTTTACACAAGTTACTGTGTTCTGTGTGTGTCTGTTTACATATGTGTATATATACATACATATACACACACATCATATAAACAACATTAAGAACATAAGAAATTTACAAATGAGAGGAGGCCATTCTGCCTCAGAGCCCAAGGTTTTAGCTTGCAATAATAACATAAGGCCTACCATCAATTTACATAACTTTGACCCTGTTTTTGAAAGTTCCTTTTATTTTAGGTGTTTGTTTGTGGTGAATTTCTTTTCTGTCTCTTCTCTCATTCTAGGGCTATTTTCTCTTTGTTTTCTTCATTCCCTGCTCTGTTTGGCCCTAGTATTTCTCTCCTGTACTATCCAGTTTCCTGTGACCTTGCAGCGCACGTTAAGACACCCTACTCTGTGCTCTGCCATTTCACCCACACCAAGACATCTCTCAGGGTTCGAGTCACAGAGACAGTATGATCTGCATTTAAAAAAAAAAAAATCTCTCAGCAAAAAAGAAAATCCCCTATGGTTGGTCTGAATTGTACTGCAAATTTTTCTGACTTACAAAGTGTTATTTGGCTTTCTGATATTTTAAGCCAGTTTACCCAGCATTCTCTTAAAGCTAAGCGAGTGAGATAAGTGAGAGAGAGTACCCTGGACAGAGAAAACAGACTGTGCGTTATACCATTAAATAAAATGGTTTTGATGTTTTTTGGTGCTTAGCAATGATAAATTCTTTGCAGATGTACGCCTGCACGTGTATTTGATCATAGTTCTTCAGACATTTATCTGTTAGTGTCTTTCTGTTAGCTTCTTCATAAGTGTTTGATCATATTCCTTCAGATGTGACGTGTAATAATCCTTCATGCCTACATGTGTGATCAGCTCCAGTTAAACGTTGATTAGGGCCCAGTATAACAATGTTATTTCTGTGCTTCAGGTCCAGCTGTCCAACGTCCAGCCCAGAACGGGCCCACCGCAGACGACACGGAGAACCAGAGAAGGTGAGAGACCCATAGCTACCCATATCAGGATGTGCAATAAAATCCTGGCAAGAATATTTCATTAGTAGATTAAATGTAGCTTGAAAACCACATCAGTGACTAAAAGATGGAACAATAAAGGGCAGAAAACAGTACAGTGATTACAGTGCCGTGGCGAAACGACTGAATGCTTTAGTGCTAGAAACAGGGCTGGGAAGCACCTTAGACGATATTTGTGGCGCCATCTTCTGACGGGTTTTGACTTAGCCAGCCGATTAGCACGCGGCGTGCATCTTCTGAGACTGAGTGAAACTGACTGGCTAAGCTGGCGCCCCTAGAAGTCCTCACATACTCTGCGGTGTCGCCACATGACAGCTCCGCGATGTGGGGGCACCTCTAGTAGTACTCAGACCCTGTGCAGTATCGGCATAGAGCAGCTACAGCTGTTACTGTGGAAGTAACAAACCTGTACACACTTTTCTCTTCTCGAAATTCTGTTCATCACCAGGAATGAAGTAAAGTTACCTGACACAACTTGAGCAAGATAAAATTTCTTTATTAAGACAAGGTGTGCAGAGTTGACAGCAGAGAAACAGAGTATCCCCAATGAAAAGAAGCAAACCCCCGAACAAAGAAAATGCTCAGGTTTTACATATTTCTGCAACTCCCCTAAAAGGCAATCTTCTGCCAAGTTGGTGAAGTCAGGGGCTCTTGTGCATGAGCAAAGTGCATGATGACCTCAAAGGTGATGATCTTGTGCGCCTCTGCATCCCTTTAGGCTCATAGCCAGTCAGCCAGTCACCATCATTTGCCCCCCACCCGTGCTGACCCCTTACATTATGTCCCCATGTTGAACAATACTATGCAATCAAGCAAATCAAACTACATAATAAACTAAACTACCCATATCCCATCATATATTTGGTCCATTAGTCTATAACATGTTCATTAGACCATATCATCCTCAAAACAGGTAAATTTAGCAAACATATGAGAACGTCAGCTTGTTTGTCTCCATTCCACATTTCTCACTGCTTTCCTGTTATCTTCCCCTGTAGGATTAAGCTCTGATTATCTTCCCAAACAGTTTCAGCTCCCAGTTTCGGGGTCAGTACATCACACACACACATGCGCATTCTTCCTGCATGAGGGCTAAGACACTGTCACCAATAACACATTCACCAATGACACTGTCACCAATCCCAGGATGCACCTCTCCCTGGCTCTGCTGGAACTTTTCTTCCACATTAGCACACTGGGACCAAAAAAATTTGCAAATGAAGTGGCAACAGGACGACAAATATTTCAAAATGAAGTCTGTATATTCAGTATAGAAATTAAATTCTATTCAAAATCTTTGGTCATACTATTTTCCCATTGCCATATCAAAATTAATGCAATTAAAGTTCTTAAAGGTTTTAAGACTAACACTAATGTGTTTACTTTGACAGCTCTGCTTTTTAAATTAATCTTACAACCCAACAAAGGTATAGGACTGTATTGTGTGAAACCTGTTTTTAATTGTATTTCCTTTGAAGTACTTAATACTGTTATTATTATTATTATTATTGCCATTATTATTATTATTATTATTATTGTTGTTGTTGTTCCTGATATTACTAAATGTAATAATGAAATATGTGTACCCTGCGTGGGTTGGTGTCCCGTCCTGGGTTATTCCCTGCCTCTGGACCCCCAGAACCCTGCATAGGACAAGCGGGTCTGGAAAATGGATGGATGGATGGACAGAATTCATTATTCTATAATAATGTTAATAATGTTATTGCATTATTATATTATATCACACAATGAACAGCCATCATTTGCATGGATTTGTTTGCATTGGCGGTAGTGGCCGGGGGGGGGGGGGCACCGCAGTGAAGGTTGCCTAGGCTACTACATGGGCCTCCACCATCCCTGGCTAAAAAACAAAATGCCTCTGCTTATGTCCTAATCACTGATTGGATTTTATAGAGCTCCATCAGACGCCGCAGGTGGGATGTGGGCGGATTTGTAGGGGGCAGGGTGAAGTCAGGTGACCTGCTGATTCATTCACCTTGTTAGTGTTGCTGTAAACTTGGCCTCTGTTTATTTCTTTGGATCATGAACACACACCAAGATGGATGTGGATCCCATACTCACCTGGAGCCCGTCGCATGTCCCAAAGCTCATTTCGATTTCTGGTCTCTGTCCTCTTGGGCTTCTGCCAGAAAAAGGCGCCCTTTTGTTTTCTCTCCTCTCCGTTTGATAAACCCCTTTCCACTCCCATGCCCAAGCGAAGCCCCCATTCCTTACACTGCCCCCCTCCGTCACATTGATTCCATCCACCATCCTGCCTGGAGCAGATCTACAAAATCACGTTGGTCTGGTACAACGAGTTTACAGATGAAACAGAGCGTGTAAACAGCCGTGACGCAAAACGCCCATCTGCTCACAGAAAGAAACAGCAAACACAGTTATTTACTCTCAAATCTGACCACTCATCATACATGGCTTCAGTTGAAGATGATCCAAGAAAGAAGATCAACTTCAGTGCTAATTAAAATGTCAGCCTGGATAAAGGTCCTGTATGGCAGTAATTTCACTTGAAAAGTAAAGTTTTTCATAGGTTAAAATTATAAAGGGAAATACTTTGTGGCAGAGTTGGAAAAATCCTCATCAGGTGCCAAAAGCTTTAGAAATTTGGCAGTCATAGTCACCCAATCCCACAACGCTACTATCCCACGTGGCCACGATTGAGATCTTGGCACAGGGCCTCCATCTAGTGGTGAGAGGAGTTACTACAATATAGGTCTCTAATAAGTGGTGTGACCCTGAGCTGGCAGGTGGTGTTCTGGGCAACCGTGACACAGCTGAAGAATTCCATTTGCTGTCCCTGTTTCCAGTGTCTGTGCATATTTTACAGCCAGCCATCCTGTTTAAAAAAAAAAAAAAAAAACAAGACAGAATGGCCTTTATTTGTCCTTAAACCAGGCGTGTCAGCTACATGAAGTTAAGAGAGACTTATTGATTGTGGTCTGGTGCAAGCAGTGCAAGAGTTCTTTATTAAATCCATTAAAAACAGTCTGGAACTGGAAATCGTGCCATCAGTCCTGCCGCCTGTGGCGGAGAATTAATATTTATTTAGCTGATGCTTTTTGTGGAATATGACACACAGGAGTGGAAAGCTTGTGGTCTGAGGGCCAGGCGGACCAGCATCTGGCTGCCCCTGCAGCAGCCGTCCTCACCCAGAGCAGCTGGGGGTCCACTGGAGCTCTGCTGGCGGTCCGTTGGGGCCACTGTGGCGTACGGGAAGCTGACGCTTCTCTCTCATTGTCCGCAGGCAGATGATGGAGCAGCAGCAGCAGATGCAGGTGCAGCTCGAGAGGGAGCGACGGACGTCTGCCTCAGGTGAGGCCCGCGAGCGGGCGAGCAGCGGGGAACGCAAAGCAGGAGGAAGAGTGACTTCCGCTCGCTGCACATTACTCACACATTGCTGTGGATGCTTCCACGTGGGGATCCAAACGTGACAGAGTGATCTGTGCCAGACTTAGTTTCACTTCAGTGTGCCGGCTGCCGGCTTGGCACGGCCTCACCTGAGCCGCCGCGTGCCGAACGGCGGCTCCCACACGGCATTCCACGTGTGCTGGTGCCCTTCTGTTTCCTTTTCCTTTGCTGTCTCCATTTTCAGTGTCACCTCTCTCGCTCTCTTTCTCTGTCGCCCACTCCTGTGTGTCCTCCTAGTCTCCACGCTGCACTTTAAGGTGTCCCCCTCCCCCTGCTCATCTGACACGCCCCCTCCTGATTATCAGCACTACAAGCCCAGCACCCTGCAGCCTCCCTCTTTTGCCAAGGTCGCCTCCTCCCCTTCTGTGTCCCGCTCCTCCTCAGCCTCGTCTCAGGACAGGGAGACTGACCCCCCCCAGCGGGTAGCCCAACTATCGCAGCTCTCCACCTCGCTGATGTCGGCGTTCCACCCGGTGCAGCCTGGGCTGGGCTCGGCGGCCCGGCAGGTGCGGCAGATCCCGCTCTCCCCCCCCCTAACGCCTCGACATGCCAAACACGGCTGGTCCTCCCCTCGTACCTTCACCCCTCTAGCATCTTCGCCCCCAGTAACGACGGCACTGACTGTCAAGCAGGTGTGCCCCCAGCCAGTCATCCCTGTGACCCAACCCTTGTCACCCCTCCAAAACGGCCGTGGCAAAGCCCCTCCCACTGACCTTGCCTCCAATGGCAACATGGAGGACAATTACCTATCCCAGAAGTCCCCACTTCCACTCACTACCATCTACAGCCCTGAGAGTATCTTTACCCCCTGCTGCGAAGCCCTGTCCATCATGGCCGGCCACCCATCCCAGGGTCCCCCCCCTCAGTCCCAGTACACGTCCTCCTTTCCCCCTCAGCAGATCCAGTACCAGGTCATGCCCCCCTTCAGCTCCTCGCCCCCCTCTTTTATTGGGGTGGCCTTGCCCAAGAAGAGCCCCTCTCCTGCCTCTCAGGCTGCTGTGCCCAACTCCGGTAAGTGAACCGGAGCTTTATGGGGCAGGATGGGTCAGAGGTGCCCCCACGCATACAAGTGTGACTCTGCAGTGGCAAACTGAGCCTCACACCCCAGCTACTAACAAGACCTGTGTTTACAGTACACATTCCACAGGGGAAATGACCACAGGAAGATTTTACTGCAAAAAGCAATATTTCTCTCATAAAAATACTTTGGGATTAACAGGAAAGAAATGCAAGAGAGCCAGTTGATCAAGAATTTAGGCTTAGATATGTGATCAGTCAGAAGATTTGTTTGAGGTTTACAGACTCATTTCAAGGTGTGATGAGATATCGGGAGTAAAGTGAGACTGCTCTAGGACTCTGCGGGGATCTGTTTTTTAGATCCAGGTGACAAAGCTTTTCCAACCCGAGTTCTCGTGTGAAAAACGGAGACATTTGATTTCTTATCTTCCTGCTTATTTCCAGCATATCATTGGGGAAACAATGATTTTGTCACCAGCTGTATTTTCAAATGAGGCTTGTGGCAACAGCAGGTGCTGCAACATGTGTGAAGCCGGTCCGGAAGGTGGCCAGATTTTGCCATATTTTGTGACGTCCCAACGCTGTTGTTCAGAAAAAAATTAGGTGTTTATACGGGTACAGGTGGCATCGAACTTAAACATGAACACTTCCAATGAGCACAGGGCCTTAATGCTGAATCCTTTGGAAATTTACAAATGTGAACATAAATATACCAAAAACAGAAACATCAGCTTGTTTTCCGCTTTCCTGTGGTGCGGTATCCCACCTCCAAGCCCTACGGCATGGCTTCGCTGTTCCATATGGCATGCTTCATATGCATGTGAACGCTCATCCTCATTAAGCCCCTCCCTCCTTTCCCTGTGGGGGGCATGGCACAGAGACTCACCCTTCACTAACTGCTGCTCTTTCTGTGCAGGTCCCCCCATCCCAGCAGGACACCCGTCCTCCCTCTCCGCTGCCCCCCCTGCTGCGGCACCGGCACCCGTGCCCACAGGGGGGCCCCCACCCCCTCCGCCCCCACCTGGCCCCCCACCGCCCTCCACTGGGGCACCTCCACCCCCGCCCCCGCTGCCGGCTGGCGGAGGGCCTGGGGGTCACGGGGAGGGGGCCCCCTCTGGGCTGGCTGCCGCGCTGGCTGGGGCCAAACTGCGCCGAGTTCAGAGGGTGAGTTCATGCCCGCCCCCGCCCCCCGGCTGAGTTTGACCAGGCTGTTAAGCTTCTCCATGTACAGCAGGTAGCACAGACTACAGGCCAGTTTAGAGATGCAGAGAAAGCATATCGTTTCCTGGTTCCTGGAGGATTTCCTTTATATACTGGGTTATATATTAAGTTATATATTTACCTGCCATTTAGAGTAAGGGGGTAAACAGGAACACCTATTAGCCTGTGTAGAACTATATTGGCAGTGTAGATTACCTCCATGTACTGTACGCCCCCCGTATTGTTAGCTGGGTGCTGTCATGGTTACTGTACACAAACTATAAATGAGGCCTCTGTCATCACAGCATTCGCTGGGGTGGGGGAGGGTTTCTGTCAGGCTACAGAGTTTCGGTACAGAGGCTGCAGAAGGGGCAGGTCAGTGATGCCGTTTGAAGTGGCTGATTTGGGAGTTTGAAAGAGACCAAGCAAGGTCCTTATAGTGTGTCAGCCCCTGTGTGTGGATTATGTTTATATTACATTGTGGGGACCAAATGTTTTTTTTTTTAGAATTTGGTGATCAGTGGTCATTGTTGACACCACAGCACACAGTGCACAACAACGAAATGTGTCCTCTGCATTTAACCCATATGTGACAATGTGACATAGCAGGGGGCTGCTCATTCAGCACCCGGGGAGCAGTGCTTAGGGGCGGTACCTTGCTCAGGGTACCTCAGTGGTGCCTTGCTGGTCGGGGATTCGAACCTGCAAGCGTTCAATTGAGTGCGCTTCCCTACCCATTAAGCCACCACTGCCCATTTTTTTTCTTTTTTCTTTAAAAACCTGTTATCTCGACATTGTCATTGACATTATATTGTTTTAATATAGATCTGTTATTTATTATGTGTTTTATTTTGTCCTTATTTTTTCATGGTTTTATTTGTTTTTATCTATTTTTCTTAATTTTACTGTACAGCACTGTGGTCCTGCACAGGTTATTTAAAGTGCTTTATAAATAGAGCTGGATTGGATGGATTGGATTGTGGGGACCATTTTTCAGGTCTATGAATGCGATCAAAAAACTAAATGCCAGAAGTCTCGTATTTTGTTAGGTTACTTATGGTTAAGGTCAGGGCTGGGTAGGGGTTACGGTTGTCATGCTGGGATTAGAGTATTCCCCATAGAAATGAATGGAGAGTCCCCACAAAGATATAATTACAAACCTGTATGTGTGTGTTTGTGTGTGTGTGTGTGTGTGTGTGTGTGTGTGCGCACTCTCCACTAGTCTGAAGATGGGTCTTCTAGTGGTGCCAAGAATGATGCCAACCGAACAAGCGGGGGCAGTAACGGTGGCTTGATGCAGGAAATGAACGCCCTTCTTGCACGACGGTGAGAGGAAGGCGGGGGGGGCGGCGGGGGGGGGGGGGGGGCAAATGGTACTCAGATGTTGTCAGAGCCGCAGTTATCAGTGCTAAGGCGCCCAGACTATCTGCACAGACAAAAGCGTTTAGGGGAACCTGCAGTCTCGATACTTATCGACGTGTCACGACGTGAAATAAGGAAACGGGAAAGGTCACATTCCTGGGTCATGGGTTGTTCCAGACATTGTACCACTGTTATTATATTTTAAGCACAAACACACTTTTGAGGGCAAAACAGGTTAAATTGTATAAGAGAATCCACCATTTGCAGATATATTTACACTGTGATGAGAGGCTTGCGTTTTATCCAGAAAAGCCCTTATGAGAAGAACTTAATGGGCGCTTATTAGCTGAGTGCCCCCCCCCCCCCCCCCGCCCCCATGTATCTAATGTATCTGTTTGCATGTGACAGGAGGAAAGCAGCTACACAGACAGAGAAATCTGGGGACAGGAAAGAGGAAGACGGCCAAAGCGTAAGTCACTGTGACCGTGATTGCGAAGTGCAGGCAATGTCGTCCTGCGTTGGAAAGACAAGATCCGGCCTTCAGAACATAAAGTTGTACTTTCCATCATGTTACTTGAAATGAGATTACATCATCTGTGAATGCCATCCTGTTTGTGTGAAAGGTTACAAATGTCCTGTACCAAAGCAAAAGACAGAAAATGCCACATCTCATGTTATTGTTTTGTTTAATGGGCCTTATGTGTAACGGGTACTACAGCCAGCCTCCTCAATGGTACAACAGCAGGGTCACACACTGCAAAGACTGTGGTTACCTGATCAATGATTCAACCTCTACATTTTCTCCTGCCCTCTTTTATGGGACCAGATACTGTATGTATTATGGTTGGGCTTAATTACCACACTCATTACCTGAATAACTCAGATACAGTTTTCATAGTTTGGGTCCCATATCTTTGCCATATATTATTTGTGTATCTCTGAGCTAAACTATTGCATAGTTTCTGTGGTGATATTTTACTATTGATTATTTTACTAATGTCACTAATATATTTATTTGTGCTCACAAGTGTCTATGAGCATGTGGTTACATACATTACTTTGGCGAAAGTGTTATCAGTCACAGAAAATGATATCTGTTGGAGTATGTCAGCTTAGCCATTTCAAAACCTCTCCTAAAATCACCACAGTATTTGCAGCAACCATCAAAGATACCAGCGAATTTCCCTACTCTACCACTTCCCCGCCTTGTTTGGCTAATCAGTGACTCATGGAGTTATCTAATGAATTAAGTTAATTAATGAATTAAGATAGTGGAGAAATTTAATGAATACATTGAATGGCTGAGGTGCCCCTAAACAGAGGCTTGGGAACCAAAGCGGTGTTAATCTAGCTATCCAGCAAGATATCAATAACTTTTTGGTGAACAGAAGAAATTCTTGTTTGTTTTTTATCGTATTACTGTTCAGTTTCACACGTTCTAATGTTAAATTGTGATTTTTTTTCTGAGAAAATATACATTTATTACCCAAATAGTAAGTCTAAGACTTTTGCACAGTACTGTATGTATGTACATAGTGTCAGGTAATGAGTTTGAATTGTGCATCTGAAATGTTAGCTTTTAACCGCGATAAATTCCTTCACAAGTAAGGTATGATGATAATTATCTCCGTAACAATTCTTGAATCTGTCTAGCCAACACTTTAATTGTATTAACTGCTAATTGCTTTCTGCAAAACAGCAATGGATTAATAATGACTTGGGCTCTGGTGTCTGTAATCTGTCTTCTATAAGGAAACATCATGTATTATTCATTAGTGAGGAATTAGTCACGCAGGACTTGTTGGAAATGTTAACTACGGCAGCTTTAATCTGCTTGTGGAAACAGGATGCTAACAGATTTTTCTTGCCGTCTCTCGGTCCTTCAGGATGATCCCAACTCCCCTGGCACTCGTGGCTCAGGTAGGCAGAATTCCACAGGTGCCACCTTTCTCCCGCCGGACTCAGTGCTCAGTTATTAAGATGCACATTTGTTTATTCAATCAGTCACCCAGTTTACTCAGCGGAATTCCACAGGTTCCCTTCTGTCCTCTGCCCACATTCTGGCTTGCATCACTGACAACATACAAATCAGCAGAGTATTCTTTACAGTGCCTCCATAGTATCATGCCAGTTGTATACCTCTTTGTTTAGCAGGCTAACGGCTAAAGCCAGCTTGCAGATTTTCAAACAAATTGGCTGTAGGCTGATAGCGGGTTTGCCCGGTGCTAACAGAGTCCCCTAACAAGTATCATGTGAAACTAGTGGAGCAAGTGCTTCTTTTGACTTCTGTGGATACCCAGGTTCGAAATGTCACTGGGAATATCAGGAGAATCCATGTGGGAATCCCCACTTTGATTTTCATATGAAGCTTAAACAGAGGGCAGTACCTAGGAGCTAAAACGCAGGCTTTGGACAAGTAGGACATTTTAAGCAGGATTTGGCTGATATCTTCACTCTGACTCCTCACCCAACAGATGCGGTCAAGAAGCCATGGGACCGAGCCAATTCTGCAGACAAGTCCTCAGTGGTGTCAAGGTCAGCACTGTAAAATGAACATGAAAAAGCTGAGCACAGGGCAAATGTGTGCAGTTATGTCATTACAAAGTCTTCTGAGCAAGGTAACCCAGATCCAGGTACTCCAGTGCCTGAAATACTATATGAGATGCTACGCTTTGTGCTCTCTCATCCTTCTCCGAGAACTTCTCGCCTCATCAGGACCCCCTGTGCTTTTTATTTTTAGAACCTTGTTAATTTCTAATGCTTCATCCAGGACTTCTTGTTTTGTAAGCAAACTCAGGATTGTGTGTTCAGTCAGAAGGTGGGGCTGTAATTGCCCTGAAGGGCTTGAGGAGCACCTTCACCTTCTCTCTCTCTGCTCCACAAACCTGCTAAACATTATATGCCTGTAAGTTACATAAACAGCTGTTTGTTGGAGATTAGCCGGTCCCTGGGCTGGTTTCACATAAAGTATTAGTAGGTGTGGCTGACCTATTTATTTCCCCCCAGACACTATGTCATATAGCCAGAAAGGAACATCTTTCGCTTACACTTTCTGATCCGTTTATTCAGAAACCCTAGATATTGCTCATATACAGCAACTGCATTTTCAGCTGAGCTCTCTGGCACCCCCTGCTGGCCATGAGCAACAGCTCTCCCCCCCCCCCCCCCCCCCCCCCGCACCCACCACCACCACCACCACCACCACCACATATTTAACATTTTTTATGACCCCTCACATTCGGTTGGTTCTATTTGCAACTGAAAAAAATTAAAACAACGTAAACCAGTCCACAGACATCAAAACAGTGTGAACCCCTACTTATAAGATTCAAACTGATCTCAAGGCTGTAGCAGATAAATGATGCTGTCTTTTCGGGCCACGTCTTCAACCCTGATGCCAGCCATTGTACTTTTGAACAGTTGCATAATAGAGTAAGATTGTGGAGACACAAGAGAGTGTTTCGGGGGATAGTATTAGGGAAATATTATATGGTGCATGCAGAATATGATACAGTCTGTGACTATGATTTTTAACAAAGGAGGTCGCTGATGTCATGTGTTTGCTTATTCAGGGTGAGACCAGCAGGCAGTAGCAGTGACACAGATGCCTTAGACTTTGACAGAATGAAGCAGGTAGGAACCTTGCCTTTTATCAATCAGCCACACCGGAATCATGCACAGAGTATAATCAAAGACATTTGATTTCTCACAGGGTCTTTTATACAAAGCTTAATTGCCGCTAAGTCGGGCTGCATAACAAAAGTTCACTAACAATAGTCAATTTCACGTTTATCATCTCTGCGTAATTCCATGGATTCTCTAAAGAAAGGAAAGTGTTTGGCCAGCAGTCACAGTGTCTCTGATTACAAAAGAGCCTTTTTGAAGGACCATATCCCTCCCTGCGGCATGTTAATATTATATTTATGAATGTCAGACATTTTATGAACAGACCACCTAAGATTCATCAATGTTTTCAAATGTATTGCTTTAAAATAAACACAACACAGGCTTGAATAGGTGGAGTCTCTTTCAACAGGAAATCTTGGAGGAGGTTGTACGCGAGTTACAGAAGGTGAAGGATGAGATAATTGACGGTAAGGGCTCTATATTCCACCAATATCACATGTACATCATTTTATCATTATGTTCAAAGCTCTAATTCTCACAAGTAGATATTAAACACGATTCTTAAGCAAAGTTGTAGTGATTTCAAAATCTGCATACGCATAATGTTTGCAGACCTGAAATAAATGCTTAAAAATGTAAATATATGGTTTCCCTTCAGTAATATTTTGTGATGGTGTTTCTCTGTCTCATAGCCACTCCTGTGTTCTTTGTTTCCCTTCGGCAGCCATTAGACAAGAACTTAGCAGAATCAGCACAACGTAATGCTCCGAGAGCGGGACGGACCGGGGTTTCCCAGGAGCAGTAGGGGCAGCGGAGGGGGGCCCGAATATGAGGGTCTCTCAGCTCCACTGCCACAGCATTCCGGGGGATCGTCACACGAGCATCACAAGACAGCGGGGCTGAGGGGAAGGGGGTGGGGGCAAGGAGGGAGGGGCATAGAGGACAGGGGCCAACAGATGGGGGGCAAACGGATGGAGGGCCATGCACTGATTAGCCTGCGCTCTCTTCTCCTCTCTGTGTATAACGAAATCCCTGTGGCAGCCTGCTGCTCTCTGTTAAGTCTTAAAAGAATTTTGATGAAGCTGAATTATTACTTTTTCTAGGATTTTCTTTTTTGTTTAATTATGCTATCTATTGATTTTTTTTTCAGACAGATGTTGCACACCATTTTATGTCAGCCTTTTATATTTTATATTGGTCGTTTTCTTTCCTTTGGTTATTGGTAAATACAGTTAAAAGAGGCTTGCTTTATAGTCACCTGACCTCAGCACCATTTTCAGATCAGATCTTTTTTTGCCAACATGGAGGTATTGAATTCACTGGAGTAGTAACTTAAGGAAAAGTTTGAATGTGAGTTTGTTGTGAAGGAAATAGAAAGTGTATGGATATTGCTTAACCTTAAAGTGCAAGGAAGACCATGGTTATGTGTGATTATGTTGTTATTCAGGCGTTTATTGGCTGCAAGATATGGTGAAGTACCGTTCGTTTTAATATATCCCTTTTTAACCAAGTGCTTCCTGGTTTAAGAAAAAAAGAAAAGTTTTAAATCCATTTAAATAAAACTGTGAACAACAATGGCAGGTGCTTGAAGCGGTTTCTTACACACGTTTTTTTCCCTTAATCTTTCACCAGGACAGTGACTTGAGCTTGTCAGACATCAAATTATTGTGCAAAACATATTTAAATGTCATTTTAATTAGAAATTGCTGGTGATAACAAACATACAAAAACAGCCAACAATAACAGACGAGGTATTTTTTTTTTTTTACAAAGTTAAATGCAGCGTTAACATTAATTTTGAAATTGTTTTAAGCCATTTCAATAAATGTCACAACGAGGCTGACCGCTTGAAACAAAACGTAGCATTTCCTAACGATGTCACAGGGCATTGTTTTAAAGGCACAATACTGTAGTGCTGCGTCACTGAAGAAATGGCCATTTACTGCTTTGAAATGCTGAAATGACTCGTTTCTTCTCTACAGTCCATGACATTACAGTAAGATCATGAAGGTACTGAGACAATCTGAACCCATTCTTGCTTCCAGATACTACATTCACCCAGTACACACTTAATATTTATTCATACTCTGAGCATTCTCACAGCAGTCCTCTTACTGCAAAGAAAAGTGGATGTTCCCAAATGGTTTGATTCCAGTTTAAACTACTATTTGACGCAGCCTCTTATAGAGGCAGCATTGATGAGCCCATTTTTTCTAGCACTTCTGCATTAAATCGCACTGACAGTCCTGGATGACCAAATAAGTGGTCCCATTTTAGCCACTAATGTCAGATTCTGAGAGGGAGGGGCACCTTTGTAAGAGCGCCCCTTCTGTGTGCCCGTTAAGATTGTCTCCAGGACTCTGGCAGGGCATCTGCCCGCATGAAGAAAAAAAAAAAACACAGGAAAGCGATGGTAAATTCCCAGGGAGTGGACAGGGCGGTCTGCGGACAGGGCGGTCTGCGGCCGGCGATCACTCCTGCTTGACCAGTTTGTACTCGCGCTTGATCCGGGCGTACGGGCCGATGCTGTCGTCGAACACAAAGTCCCAGAGCACGCGGACCCAGGAGGTGTGCTGCGGGAGTGAGTCATAGTACTCAGCTGCCATCTTCTTCACCTGCCGTGGGTGGGGGGGCGAGGGGAGAGGAGGTTAGCTGGGACACAAGCAGGATTCCTGGGAGTGATTCCAAAAAGGAGTTGCCTGGCACTAATAACAGAGCAGGTCCCGTTAATACAGTACGACATGAATGTTCACCACTGACACCTAATATTTCACCTCCAGCACCATGTGTCCATTCCATTGTTAAAATACGACTTGAAAAGGCACAAGTCACATTATGTTGAGGCAAGCCTTGGACAGAACGCCTACAGTAACGTCTGCCTCATTTGTGCCAATTCCCTTGCTGTCTGAGACTAATGACTCTGCTAAATAATGAGAGTTTCTTCTAAACAGCAGCTAGCAGCTAAGCCTAGTACACTTGTTAATGAAGAATAAGGTATAATGCCGTTTGTTACATTAGTCACAAGCCTACACCTGGGCTCCAGCAATCAAACGCACCATGGGAATACACCCAACTGAGCTTTGATGATGTAACTAATGGAAAAAAAAAAAGGGAGACTTTTGAGTAAATGGATCCAAGCACAAACCGTGGAGGAACAAGTGAAACAAAGGCTGCCCTGCACTGTGAAAGTTTGCACAGGCCGTCGTATCAGTATAACATCTCTGTGTCATGCGTGTGTGTGTGTGTTTTTAGGTGGGGGTCCTTTGATAAGTAATCCATCAAATATAAAGGGCGTTTTGCCATTCTAAACATGCTAGATTAAAAAGCCTTTCCCTTTATCCTCTAGGAAAGCCAGTAGCACAGTGATCAGGGACCTGAATATTTGTCTCTCTTTCCCTCCCAGAACTTATACTCTGTAAGACTCAAATTTACACTTCCTGTAACTCTTAAGCATTTTTCAGACGCTTAATGATAATTTCTATGCATGTCTCTACATATAACGAAACATGAATAACAAGATTGCTTTGGAAGAAAATCAGCCTTCCACATGAGGCCAGACTCACCAGTGGCAGTCGGCTGCCAGGTATGCTGGGAAAGTCGTGGTGCTCCATGTGGTATCCCACGTTGAAGGTGATGAGGTTCAGGGGGCCGTAGTAGGAGTAGGTCTCGTGGCCCTTCAGGAACATGTAATGCTCAGCGATGAAGTGGCCGGAGATGGGGTGCAGCCCCATGCACAGGATGGAGCCGGAAATCAGGTAGACGATGGGTTTCAGCCCCCACAGGTAAAAGATGCAGACGTCTGCCACCAACTGCACCGCGGCATTGAGCACCTCTAGGCTGGACACGGGCTTGGGGTTGACCACCAGGGGGCGCAGTGCATAGAAGAACGGCTGGAGAAAGAGCCAGATGAGCTTGCGGAAAGGGGTGCAGAAGAACCAGCCCTCTAGGTCGGTGGGCACGTCCACGTCCAGGCCGTCGCCGCCCAGGTAGCGGTGGTGGTCGATGTGGTACTTCTTGAAAGAGGCTGAATAGGGCAGACCGATGGGCAGGTTGGCAAACATGGCAAACCAACGGTTCCAGCGAGCTTGCTTGTTGCCAAAGGCCACGTTGTGCGAGATGTCGTGGATCGCCAGTGTCAGCGAGTGGTTGATGCAGCCGCCGAAGGTGTAGGCCCAGATGACAACCCACTTCCAGGACACGTCCTGTACCAGATAGCAGGCTAAAAGCTGGGTCAGCACCATTCCAGTCACAACCCACTTCAGCTGAGGGTCAGGACCCATCAGGGACTTGATCTCGGGGTACTTTGCTGTGTGAACAGAGACACAGAACAGGTTTAGTGCTATAACCCGACTCCCCCAGGACACTATAATGTCCACCAATTAACTTATCAGGGGCCAGAAATGCCAGGAATAAAATGGGAACCCAGGTAAACAGCCCACATTCCTGCATGTTCCACAACATCCACGCCAGGCCAAAGAACTGGAGAGTCGCAATCTTTTCAAACAGCTCAACCCAAAACCAGCTTCTAAGGTTTCCACTGAACAGCCCAAACCGGTCACCGGAGAAACTCTGCCGGCTTACAAGTAAATCGTCGAGCAAGCAAAACCAGAACCCGAGGAATGTGTGTAATAATGACGAAGAACAAATGTGATTATTTCTAGCTGCACGGTAACTGGTTATTAACAATAGCTACCTTTTCAGCTAGTTTGTTTAGACGTATGTACAAGATGCCTGAAGAGTCTGAAAAGTACTATGCTCACCGATACTCCTGCTATTAGTACCAGGCTACAAAATTAGGAATAAATTAAATGTAATTTAAACCCATTTAAACAATCGACAAGGAGACTGCTAGCTTTTGCAGGCAGCGCAGTGATTAACGCAACTCAAGCAGTGTTTAAATGTCTCCCTCTAGGGAAGTAAGCTCTCTCTATAATGGCCCTTTTAATTAGCTAGCATTTTGTTTTGCCATGAGCCATTTTCTCTTTGTTAATTTTCGTAGGCATCTTTTTTCAGGCAGAGGATATTGTAGGGGTAGGTGCTGCAGTAGCCAAGGAAATTAAACCAAAAAAGGTTAAAGAATTTTCATTTAGCACTTCTTTGTTTTTGTAATGATGAGCGTAGCAAATCTTAATTTCTGTCCTAAATACCCATTTAAACTCTGAAATACTCAATTAATTTAAAGTCTATAAAGTAATGGCGTGTCTTTTTCAGGAACTGTTTGGGAAGGGGGAGCAGTAATTTTAAGCCATGGCCACGTATTTGTTTCAGACTATACAGCTGGGGAGTGCATACAATGTGCTGTCCGGACTGGAAGGGTTGTACTTGTAGTCTGACTGGTTCTCCCTGTAGCCGGGCACTGAACCGTATACATCTACAGAAACAGACGTCAAATGCTATAAGTCATTCATTTATTTAGCAAATGGTGATTAACCTGCAGGAGGTGCCCCTCAGCGCATTGGCACGCCTGTTTATCTTATTACTATACATTTTACCATGGCCGGAAGTATTTCTTTCTTTATTTGCCTACACGTTATGCAAATCGGACTCTAGAATTTTAGCTTATTTGCATTCTGTGCTCATGGGTGGCGTCGTACGCGAGAGTTTCATTTGACCATGGCAATTTGGAAATGCATCATTTATGGCTAAATAATCAATACTGGAAATGAAACATCATATGCACTTGGCTTTTAAATTGCTTTTCAAAACGTCAGTCACTAACTAAAATGGCACTAAAACATTCTAATATCAGGAAACCATTCTTTTTATTCTGTATCGGTAATCTGTATTGGGGCAGCGCGTGGCTTAGTGGGCTAAGCCTGTGTGCCTGTAATCAGAAGGTTGCCAGTTCCAACCCAGCCTCTGCGGGTCCTTGAGCAAGGCCCTTAACCCCCAGCTCCCTGGGTCCCCCTACAGGTGGCTGCCCTTCGTGGACAACACACTCTACAAAAGAGCAAGTTGAGGGAGGCGTAAAGACAACTTCCCCACGGGGATCAATAAAGTATCGATCATCTGCGGGAATTATGACATTAGGTAAATCCCTTAATTTGCATTTTATGGACGGGAATACAGGTGACAGATGTGTTAGAGGGAGCCATTATACAATACGCTAAAAAACACTGTTACGCTAAAAAAATCTGTTATTAATGCATGAATCCCTTCCCCAAGATCTCATTCACCTCCATGCCTCCCAATCCTTCATGTACTGTGCTATAATGAGAGAACGTAATATGGTTTTACAGCCTTCATAAAAGTTAACTGCTGAACACTGATCCCACCTGATCTTTCTTTTCATTGATTTTTTTTATTGCAAGATACAGGGGGATATTGTCGCCATAAAGTACCAGACAGCAAAAGAGTATCAAGATATAAATAACGCATTATGTAATTATCCACTTACGATTAATTTAAGTCATTTAAATATGAAAATAGCCCCATGACCTTGTCGTATACTCACAATCAAGCATTAACAATTATTTTTGAAATACATCTTTTTTTAAAAGTTTTGGCCAAATGTCACAGTACAAAAATATTCTGTCCACTGAGTGACAGATCTGCTGCCTCACACAACATCCAATGATGTCCGAACTTGGCCACAAGTTTCCATAATCGAGTGAAACCTCGTATCCTTTAACCAAGAACAAACCCACAGTCACAACCAAATACAACAAAACATACAGGAAGTTTTAATCAGTAACTAAGTGACATAAATATCCCTTCATTTCCCTTTACAGAGTGACCTTCTGCACATCACACACATTTTATTACTATAATAAACATCACGCATCCATCTGTTGAATGCTACTAACCGCCAACAGCCTTCACGGCACAGCCCAGTGGCAGCAAGCCAATCCATGTAGCCACTGGCTCCCAAACCATCTCTCACATATCAATAGATCCTCGCCTTGCATGGGGGCTGCAAGCTGCCAGTGCAGCTAATCATGTTGCAAGATAACTGGCATGTACTTGATGACATGCCAGGATGAAACTAAACTACAAGACGTCCCGGTCCAGACATCCCAGGAACCAGGTACCTGAAGTTTGCTGGGTAAGCGCCTAACAAAGATCTATATTTCTATATAGGTTGCACTAGTGCTTGTGGTCATGGGCATCAGACGGATAGGGATACCCTGGCAGATTCCGGGGGCCCAGCACTTGACAGAGGCCCTTAAAGTACGCTACTTAGTACTTAAGTGTACTATTGAACACCTCCGGAGATCCTTCCTCCCAGTGGTCAAACTTTACTCCTCTGCTTTATGCTGAACATTGAAATATACCATGTACAGCTTCTGTTCCTATCATTTATATCGATACCACTTGCACATCGTATAAAATGGTGGATAATATACATCATACAGTCCTAGTTTTTTCACTGCCTGTGTATAATTTTCCATTTGCACATCTGAGTGCAAACATGTAGTACAGCTCAAAATATACTTGCACATTTCATGTTGTTGGCACAAGTGGTATATGTTTCTGTTCGTTTATTTATTTATAGAGCACTTCTAAACAAAAGGAGTTGAACCCAAAGTGCTGTTTTTAATGGTATATCATCTGTACAACACAAAATGATACAACAATGTAACAAGAGGAACTTAAAAGACCTGGATTCAAATAATAGCCAACATGGATTTAGGAAAGGTAGATCCTGTTTAACTAATTTACTTGAGTTCTTTGAGGAAGCTACAAGAGAATTTGATCACAAAAAGGCCTACAATGTGATCTACTTAGATTTCCAGAAGGCCTTTGATGTTGTCCCCACAAACAGCTCTTGCTTAAGCTCAAAACTGCAGGGATTTTACGAACTGTGGCAGCTTAGATCGAAAACTGGTTAACAGACAGGAAGCAGTGAGTAGTTATTAGAAGCACAATGTCACAGTGAGCCTGCATTCATAGTGGGGTACCACAGGGTTCAATTTTAGGACCACTATTGTTCCTAATTTACATTAATGATGTTGACACCAATACATACAGTAAACTGGTTAAACTTGCAGACGACACCAAGGTGGGTGGTGTAGCAGATACTGATCTAGCGACACAGAGGCTACAATGGGATCTTGATTTAATTAGTGACTGAGCTGATACCTGGCAAATGAAATTTAACGTTGATAAATGTAAGGTAATCCATGCAGGCAGCAGAAATATAAAATACAGATATTTTATGGGTTCCACTAAAATAAAGGTAGCTGATTATGAGAAAAACCTGGGTATGTATGTTGATGCTTCCATGTCCCACTCTTGCCAGTGTGGGGAAGCAATAAAAAAGACCAATAGGATGTTGGGTTACATCTCTAGTTGTGTGGAGTTTAAGTCAAGGGAGGTGATGCAACGATTATACAATTCCTTTGTAAGACCCCACCTAGAATATTGTGTGCAGGTTCGGTCACCATACCTTAAAAAGGACATTGCTGCCTTGGAAAAGGTTCAACGTAGGGTTAAAAGAATGATTCCTGGTCTTAGAGGAATGTCTTATGAGAAGTTAGCTGAGCTGAATCTGTTTAGCCTTGAGCAAAGGAGACTAAGGGGGGACATGATCCAGGTCTATAAGATTCTAACAGGTCTGGATGCTGTTCAGCCAAATGGCTATTTCAATATTAATTTAAATACTAGAACTTGTGGCCATAAATGGAAATTAGGGGGAGAATATTTTAAAATGAATTTTAGGAAACCCGACACAAAGACGACAGAAAGCTTGCAATTTGTAATACATGTAAAGCCAAAGTAAACCCTGGGGGAACCACCACGAAAGCGTGGTGAAACATCGCAGGTAAACCTTCAACTGATTAAACTGATTATTAAACACATACTAAACCTTGAAAAGGAATAATCATTAATATTGCAAAGCTATAAAGTTTTTTTCCCTATGAAGGAAAAAATGTTGTAACGAAACTTTAACCTTCTGCACTATAATGTCCGTACAGTAGGAAGGTATGAAAAAGCCTTAATCTAGCTTACTAGCGATGTAACTGTATGCGCATAACATGCGATGTTGGTATTAATAGTATTACCCTGCATCTATTACTTGGAAGAGTATAGTACACTTAAGTTTTATTTGGAGTATTGTAAACGATGGACTTTTTAATTGTAAGACGAGTAAAAAAAAAAAAAGAGAAAACGTTAATGTCGTGTTATCTGTTGCATTTAAACATACTGGAAAATGATTAAGTGCCTGACATTTGTTATTTAAATCTGTTGCACCTGCTCTTGCTTGTTAAAGTGAAGATAAAGTTTATGTCAGATAAAGTTGGGTGTACAGCAACTCATTTATAATTATCAGTTATTTGTACCTCAGTCCAGTCACAGAGCACTTTGAGACTTGTATAAGTGAGAGAATATCCTGTAACTTGTGCAGTTTGGGGGAAATTATAAAGTGTAACAATTTATTATGAAAATAAAATTTTGCATTGAAGAAAAGTTTATTTTTGTCTGTATATGTTGTCAATTATAGTTCTTAGAAAATTGGTTTTGGCAAAAATCGGTATTGGCAGGTCACATGTGCAAAAAATACTGGAAATCTGAAAATCGGCCAAGAAAAATGCATCTCTAACAAAAATAATTTCCCTTCAGGGATCAATAAGATTTTTCTGATTCTGATTCAACGTGGAAAAAAATTTCTACCCTGAAGCAGAGACAAAAAAAGGACCAGGAACTACCACACAGGAACTGCAATCAGGCCAAATTCCAGTGGTGGGAAGGTAACAGGCATTCCTAAGTTCCCAAAAAGTTCCTGGAAAAATATTCTTATGGTGGGAAAGGGCTTACAAACGACCTACTTGGGCTTCAGCTTCGATCACTGGACTAAGATGAGGCTTTTGGTACAAAGAACTTCTACATACTGTACTAGTATTCAGCGTATTCATAAGTAACCTCCACTGTGACCACTGCGAATAGAGCATGTGGAGTTCATCTGCTTAAAATATACTTATATCCATTGGTCAGTAATATCTGCATCAGGAACATTAGACCTTATTTGTCTGCAGCTCACCTTCATGTCCAGCACATGATATCTCGTGACTAGACCACTGCAACTCTCTATTGTCAGGTCTACCAGCCTGTGCTGTCAAACCGGTGCAGATGATTCAAACACATGGCAGCACGTCTGGTATGCAGTCATCAGGGGTGGGGATCCTGTTCCATGGAGGGCCGGTGCGGGTTTTTGGGATGACCTCTCAATCAGCCAATAACAGTGGGTCCTCAGGAGTGGAGTTGAGAACCACTGCTTTAATTATTATTGAGGCATCCCCCAAACCCACACCGGACCTCCATGGAACAGGTTCCTCACCCCTGCCCTCATCTTACACCCATCCTGGTCTCTCTTCACTGGCTCCCTATAGGCACTTGCATCAAGTTCAAGTCCTTGGATCTGGCCCTCAGATCCATTACTGGATAGGCACCCATCTCTACCAAAAGACTCCTTAAGACCTACATCCCATCTCGCCCTCTTTGGTCAGCAAACCAACATTGCTTTGAAATCCCTGCCACGTGAGTAGTGACTTTCCAGATGTTTGTCCTGTGAGATTCCCCAATGTTGGGATGATCTGCCAATCAGAATCTCTCTCCATTTTCAAGAAATGCATCAAGACCCAGGATTCATTATTTAGATTCATAATCTGTTTGAAATGTTATGCAACCGCTGTATGTCCTGCTCCCTCACTGCTTACACTTGTTACTCAGCATTCATTGGAAGCTCTTATGCCTAGTTGACTCCTTGACATATGCATGCTTGCAATGTGCCATTTGTCTCACTTCTGGGTCATTTTGGACAAAGACATCTGCTAAATAAAAGTAATTATCTCATCACTCATGTAGGAATCATGTAATGGCATTCCAAGTTAATATGCCTTGAAAAACTACGGAACATCCAAGATTTCACCCTTTTTCACCCTTCCTTGCAGTGGTCACATCTGGCCATTTGAACTCTGTGGCAGCTAATTAATATTAATTATTTTTCTTTATTTAAATATAGGAAACCAATTAATACACTGACCCATTTAGCAAATCTGAGCAAAACAAACAGATTTAAGGAATATCGGGTGCTTAGGTTTTTTTAATGACCTTTTTATGGCTTTTCATAGATGCTTCTCTTTTACTAGAGTTTCATCTTTAGTCAGGCAGAAATACAGGACAGCATTCATTTAAATTCTAAATCAGCACAGAGACCGCTATTCTCGCAACACAGCTACATTGTGGCTGTACTGCTTCAGAAAAGCTATGGTCAGTTATAGTCACCTGGGAAGCCCAACTTATGACCTCATGCCTGATGAATGCAGCACCTGCGTCGGGCATAATTAAGAAGAGATCAATTATTAATACCTTCAATGTGTAAAATGAACCACCCCCCTTCAGCATTTTTGGCCACCTCCTTTTGTCTTGGTGGGAAGGTACAAGTAATACCCATGGAACTGGACACAGACAAGGGTACGACCCACCTTTTTTTCGTGTATACATTCCCGCTATTACGTTCACCAGTAAAGAACGCCACCTGAAATGGTTGCTAGCAGAAAAACCATACGCTTCACCTAATCTTTTTGATAGCGAAGGAAATCTGTTTAATTTCTGTTTACATAATAATATTCCAGGGTCAGACAACTTCTGAAGATACACCTAAAGGAAGTGAATCACCCAGGGGAACTAAACCTTTGACTTCTAACCTCCAAATCCTGTGTCATTTCATACCTCAGTGCTTCTGGGCAGCCTTGATGCATCTCACAGCACAAAAAAAAAAAAGAGACAAATCAGATTGTTTAGCACCAATATTTACACAAAAACAAATCATATTATGCAAAGACTACCTTTAGCATAAATTCAAGGTCATCTTTACCTACCTCCAGGCTTTCTACCTTCTGTGTTGTCAGGTGGAAATTTACCAGCTGATAGGATAATGGTGACCATCAGCGTTTGCAGGTAGTTGTGGCAAAAGGGAAATTAAATGGGATACAATTTAGTGTCTAGAAAAAGGCTGCAAAGCAGCTGAAGAAGAACAGGTGTGCTGGGGCGCTTTAATGCACGGGTTTACCCGGGCTGCAGCTCAGGGGCCTCCTCTAGCCATGTTTAATAACAGGGGGGGGGATTTTGACAATTTTTTTCACAGTCGCCACCCCCTCCTAGCACAGAAACACAGTAGAGGGGCCTCGGGCCTTGTTGATGTGCATCTGGGTTGCTCAGTTTCAGCACTGTTAATATCATTCCAGAATGCCAAGTGATTGAGCTTCTGGTATGTAAATATCAGCAGATGGCGAGCTTCTGCTCAAGGGTACCAGGGAGGCTGTGAGCGTCCCACTTCACACAGCATATACTATGGGAACTATGGCTTCCTGTTCCCTCTTCTCAGAGCCCGCGGTACCGCAATGCCACGCATCTTTACGATGTCGTATAGGATGCTCCCATTTGCCTTCATTTAAATGTCCGTAATGTTTAAGAAATGCGCTAAATATTTCTCCTGCAGGAACACGACTAACCTCATCCTACTCCTGACTCTCACTGGTCTCCCGCAATTGTTCCATTGACATGGTCTACTTGGCACTGCCAGAAGCTCTGATTTTGTAACTTGCACTTAGCTTGTGCTAGATTCTCTCTTGGGAGAAGGGTTCTCTGATGTGAGGCTCTAAACAGTGTCATTCTACCTCTTGATCCCACAACTGTTTTGCTGCATTTGTTACTGGTCACGTATTGGAAGTCTTGCCTAGCAACAATCTTACCTAAATTGGGTCCACAACATCTGTATGTCCTTTACACGTCTTCCAGTACAAGCTCATGGGTAAATAAGAAACATTAGTAATTGGTTGAAATGGATATATGGGGGGGAAGCCATTCATTTGGAGCTTCCACACTATCCTCAATCACATTAGTAACCAGGACTCTGTGAATGATTTACCCAATACACTGGGGTGTGTTAAACTACATTCCCAGTGTTCCAGGTAACATCTGCAATTCTGCTCTTGTGTAATATTGAGTAATCTCAACAATGGGCCAAGTTCTGAGAAGGTGCGTTTGAAACAGAGCTGAATGTAACTGCCATGTGATGCATACAGCCAGCAATTTTTCTTACACAAATGCCGAAATTTCGAATGAATTCACATTTCATGCACAATTTATGAAAATGTAACCCGGGTGTAGGGTTAGGACAGGCAAGGTAGGCAGCTGGGCAATTACATAGTACATTGCAAAGGCAATCTGCTTTATTTGTGTATTTTGAAATTAAAGGAATTGTGTTTATTAAATTCTCTTTGCTAATATTATTAATTTAGACTTCAAGCTAAAATAATGATCATAAATTTTACAGTGTTGGGTGGGGTGCATTGAAGACCCCCATGGAGTACTTTGCATAGGGGCCCCAAGTGTACGATGAATCGCACCTGCCTGTGTCACATCATTATCTCACCAAAATCCATTTTTGTAAACGAACTATATCATAATTAAATATTATGGGTTAAAGAACAGGATATTTGTCTTGAATATCAATTGGGGTACAGCACAGTGATGGGTGGACCATTCTGGAACTTGAACCCACAACCTTTTGGTCACAAGTCTAGTTCCTTGTTCACCTGCGGCCAAACAGATTTATATATATTTTAACGAATTCAGGGCGACTTAATTGCTTCTCTCCGCGAGTTTCTGGCTCACTGACTGAGCGCATACTATCGCTGAGCAGGCTGAATGCGCTCCATGCGGATCATATTGACGAGGCGTATTCAAGTCATGCTGCGCAATTAGCGCACATGTGACCCTGTCTACAGCAAACCTCCTGTGTGGAAACAGAAGCCTCTGTTTTTACCATAGTAGTGTACCCCTGTGCAACTCTGTCGTGTTTCTAACCAACACAGGACAAACCAGGACCTTTGTATTTACTGCACAACTCTCCCCAAAGTAGATGAAAACAATCCCGGTGGCTTTTATCCTCAATGAAACAGGACACTCATATTTTCCCCTACTTGAGCCCGGCGACATTTCAAATTATCTACGCAATCGTCAGGGAGACATAAACTATGACTTTAGGCGCACGGCGGTTTAGGTTCTGGAACCGGCTTTTAACAACGCGCTTCAGATGTAATGTTTCAAAATCGGCCTTTAAAATTGTGATGTTGCGGTCGCTGATTCATCACACTCATGCCCACTTAAAAGAAATAACCTAGCTATGCAGTTCGGTACTTTACACCCGTCGCTGTATTTTGCCAGTACACTTCTAGAGAACTTATCAAACTCGTCAGGACCGATTCGTGAAAGGATCACAACTGATTTTTAGAGACGCCGCATTAAGCTCCATTAAACTGAAGATAAAACTCCTTCCGACACACGTAACAACCTGGGTATTATTTCTCCGTAGTGTCGCGCTTGCCAGACCCAGGCATCGCGGCTGCAGGAGCTGGACCAGGCGGTTTGCTTAACCAGGATTGCCGTTGACCAAACACAGCCCCCAAGCACCAACTCCCGACCGCACCAGCTACACACGGTGGGCGGACACACGTTATATACAGCATTTACACACGACACTATAACAAACCAACAGACGCTAATTGCACACTGCTATTTAAATGGCTGGTACCAGTCTAACTGCCAGATTTTTGCCCCTAGCGCTACAGTAGTGTTGTGGAGTTAGAGATACCTGTCCTCAAATCGTTTCAAAGGCGGTGATTTTCTACCAAAAACCCCAACCTCAAATAACACATCGTACAAAAAGAAAAACTCGTGAACCGCCCTAAACGCCAGTTTAAATGTCCATCAACAGGTGAAGTCCGCACCTCCTCTGTTTAAACTTCAGCGGTATAATAATGATGTTTAAAGTTTGTGATCACGTTTTCCCCCTGCTCTCCACAACAGGTGTACCAAGGTATACCCGCGGCAGGGAGTACGCCAAGACCAAGTTACAGATACTAATCAGGTACTGTAATCGTAATGAAATGTCATTTCGCAATAAGCTTAATAAAAACCAGCGTTGTCACCCCCATTCACATATGATTATGTAGTTATTTTAAATAATATAAACAATACAACGCTTCACCGTTAGCATCTGCTTGAGAGAAACTTCCACACTGGGAAGTCCTACTGCTGGGACTGAAACCATGATCAGAGGGAACTCAAACCGTCAAATCAAAGTGCTGGTATGGTGTCCTACCCAGAATCTCCTTCCTCCTGGACGTGTGCGGCTGATCGGTGTAAACCCATTCAAAATCCACCCGTCCTGCTTTCTCCCCCATAGCTGTCCTCCCGCAACGGGTGCCAAAGAGTGGAAGGCACGGTGATCACTCTCGCACGCACATACACTGCGCCCGGAGGCACACACCCTCCTCAAGGCACTGGCGCAAGGTGTGACTTAAAAGCTCCTCCCCAGTTGCAATGTCAGCGGTGCTATATATCTCATCGAATCAAATCTGATCGGTATAAAACCAACGCGCATTTTCCCCCCTTCTTTCTCTTCATCTTCTGACATGACCATGTTTTAGGTGTATGCATGCTTCTATTCACTGAAAATGTAAAGTTTAAAACACTTAAAAAGTGGGATTATGTTTTAAGGACAGAACCGTAGTAGGCTTGCATTAGACTTATCGATATCCAAGCAGGCCCAGTTTTATTAGTTAATTTGATATCACAAAATTGTCTGCCGACAGAGGGCGCCATCCAGTCGTTTACTTGGTCTATGGTCCTAAAGCGTTCAGTTCTCCAAAAGATAAAAGCGTGCATCTAAATTGCTAAATGTTAATTTCCCAGTGTTTCTAATTTTTACAAAGTTGTGCTATGGTAATCTTTTTTTTGCGCGCCTGGTTTACTAGGCACGTAGGGTTCCCCCCTCACTTAAGTCTTATTGTCTTTATTTCAATTACTTCCCAGCCGCTCATATTCACCCCGGATGGCCCGAGCTGGCTGACTGCCCTCCCAGCTGCCCGACTCCCTTTACGTTCGATCTTGTTTCTGCCAAGCTGCATTATATCGTACTGGCCAATAACATTAACACTGATTTTTATGTTTTTCGTGAGCCCTGGATGCAATAAAACTTACTACAAGAACATTTTAACCGTACCAATATTGTGCACACAATCCGATGAGACCAAAAGAAAAATGATAAAGCAAACTCATACGGAAATAGCCTACAATCACAAAAATTCTGTTACTGAATTTACGGTTTTTGAAGTATCCTCCTACATTTGCAATGATGAGTTATGGCAGAAGCCAATAAAATCAACAAAAATAAAAGGGGTTGCTGCAAATATGGGCTGAATGGTCATATCAGAGTATGCTGTCACATGAGTTGTAAGTGTAGTATGGTGACTCAATGGACAGCACCAGGATATTACACAGGAGCCTTACTCAGGCTGTTTAAATGTACACTAATTATTTTAAATAGTATGTTCTCACTCATTTTCATTAAAATCAGATTCCTCCAATAAAGAATTACTCCCCTTTTTTTATGAGTCCTCCCAATTTCTTACCTCCTAGGTTGTAGGTTCACGTCCTACATTCCTGTGCTCCTATCAATGCACATGATGGCTTCCTCCCACGGGACAAAAACATGCAGTTAGGTGAACCGATGTCTTAAATTGTGCCCCGTGACGGCCTGAGATAAGCTTCAGACTCACTGCCACCTTGTAGTCGTGTGCAAAAGTTTGGAGAATGACACAAGTGTTGGTTTTCACAAAGTTTGCTGCTTCAGTGTTTGTAGATCTTTTGTCAGATGTTTCTGTGGTATACTGAAGTATAATTACAAGCATTTCATAAGTGTCAAAGGCTTTTATTTAAAGTTGCATTAAGTTTATGCAGAGTCAAGATTTGCAGTGTTGGCTCTTCTTTTTCAAGACCGCTGCAATTCACCCTGGCATGCTGTCAATCAACTTCTGGGACAAATCCTGGCTGATGGCAGCCCATTCTTGCATAATCAATGTTTGGAGTTTGTAAGAATTTGTGGGATTTTGTGTGTCCACCCGCCTCTTGAGGATTGGCCACAAGTTCTTAATGGGATTAAGATCTGGGGAGTTTCCTTGCCATGGACCCAAAATGTTGATTTTTTTGTTCCCCAAACCACTTAATTATCACTTTTGCCTTATGGCACGGTGTCCCATCCTGCTGGAAAAGCCATTGTTTGTCACAAAACAGGAAGCGGAATGGATGGTTGAGAGAAGTTGCTCTCGGAGGATGTTTTGGTACCATTCTCTATTCGTGGCTGTGTGGAAAAATTGTGTGGGCCCACTCCCTTGGCTGAGAAGCAACCCCACACATGAATGATCTCAGGATGCTTTACTGTTGGCAGGACACAGGACTGATGGTAGCGCTCACCTTTTCTTTCTTCTTTTTTCTGGATACCCTAAACAATTGCAAAGGGGCCTCATCAGAGAAAATAACTTTACCCCAGTCCTCAGCAGTCCAATCCCTGTACCTTTTGCAGAATATCAGTCTGTCCCTGATGTTTTCTTGGAAAGAAGTGGCTTCTTTGCTGCCCTTCTTGACACCAGGCCGTCCTCCAAAAGCCTTCGCCTCACTGTGCATGTAGATGCACTCACACCTGCCTGCTGCCATTCCTGATCATGCTCTGCACTAGTGGTGCCCCAATCCTGCAGCTGAATCAACTTTGGGAGACGGTCTTGGCACTTGCTGGACTTTCTATGGTGCCCTGAAGCCTTCTTCAGAACAATTGAACCTCCCTTCTTGAAGTTCTTGATGATCCGATAAATGGTTGATTTAGGTGCAATCTTACTAGCAGCAATATCCTTGCCTGTGAAGCCCTTTTTATGCAAAGCAATGATGACTGCATGTGCTTCCTTGCAGGTAACCATGGTTAACAGAGGAAGAACAATGATTTCAAGCACCACCCTCCTTTTAAAGCATCCAGTCTGCTATTCTAACTCAATCAGCATGACAGAGTGATCTCCAGAGTGATCTCCAGCTCCAGCCTTGTCCTCATCAACACTGTCACCTGTGTTAACGAGAGACCCACTGAAATGAAGTCAGCAGGTCCAGTTGTGGAAGGCTGAAATGCAGTGGAAATGGGTTTTTTGGGATTAAGTTAATTTTCATGGCAAAGAGGGACTTTGCAATCAATTGCGATTCATCTGATTCAGCCTTCATAACATTCTGGAGTACAGTATATGCAAATTGCCATCATAAAGACTGAGGCAGCAGACTTCCATCCATCCATCCATCCATTGTCCAACCCGCTTATCCTACTGGGTCGCGGGGGACCAGAGCCTATCCCGGAAGCAATGGGCACGAGGCAGGGAACTACTCTGGATGGGGGGCCAGCCCATCGCAGGGCACACACACACCATTCACTCACACATGCACACCTAAGGGCAATTTAGCAACTCCAATTAGCCTCAGCATGTTTTTGGACTGTGGGGGGAAACCCCACGACGACATGGGGAGAACATGCAAACTCCACACACGTGACCCAAGCAGAGACTCGAACCCAGGTCCCAGAGGTGTGAGGCAACAGTGCTAACCACTGCACCACCATGCCGCCCCTCAGCAGACTTTGTGAAAAATAAAATTTGTGTCATTCTCAAAACTTTTGGCCACAGCTGTGTTAAGCAGTTGTATACAGGAGATATGTGCCATCTAGTGGTTCAGTTGATATTTTCTGCATTTCAATAAAAAGGGACAATAAAAACATCACAAAGAATATGCTGAAGAGCACAGCTTGTCTCAGGTTTTGTCTTGGTTGTGAAAATCAGGAGTCATCAGCCCAGATCCTGGTGGTTTGCAGCTGTCCTTAAACTCTTCTGAAGAACACCAACACCACATAGAAAGACTAAATTGTTCCCGTCAGAACTCTAATTAGCTCAGCTAAGAATTTAAGTGATGTTGTGGCTAGTGCTCACACAGAACCAGAGTCATGAAATCACTGGGGGGAAAAAATTGTGCCTTTGGGTATTAAAACTAAATAAAGTTACTTATGCATTTCAGATGTTCCAGTTTTTCCACATCTGCAATCCAGGTTTTAAACCACTGATCAAAACATAATTATAAGCGCATTTCCATTACATTTTAACACCACTCTCCTTCATAGTGAACATAAAATTGATACTAGTACTCTCAAGAGCTGTTTTACGTTTAGTGAGTTTATTAAATATGTGCCTTTATGGACATTTTTTTAAGGGAAGGTGTAGGTCAGATTTTTCAGCCAGTGCTGTTTGATAACTAGCTGTTGAGCAAACACAGATTTACCCCAGAATTTTTTTAAGGGACAGAATTCAGCATGGGATATATGACTACTGAATACAATAACATGAAGCAAATAAAACTGCGAAAGAAATTAAAGTCAGCGAAAAGCCATGTGAACACTGGAGAGTATACAAATTGATCTGAATTCATACCCACAACCCCCTGGGTCCAAGGTGGACATGCAAAAGTGATTTCTCTGTCAGCCTGTTTGATCACTTAGCAGCCACTGGTAACCAAGACCTCTAATTAGAATATCAGAGTGAGCAGCAAATTTGAGCCAAAAAGGCCACCACTTTTAGCTTTATCCACCAACTTGTGTTGAGAAAAAAAAAGTGCAGTGGTGGATAGTGCAGGTCCAGAAATCAAAAATCCAGACCAATGTTTTGTTTCAACCAACTACTTGAGTACCTGTGACTGTGACTCTTCATAGTCAACTGGTTGGTTGAAACAGAATCTTGGTCTGGATTTTTACTTTGTGGACCTGAACTATCCACCTCTGCAAAATGCCACAGCTCTGAGAAATTTGATTATGGGTTATTTCGGCTGGGGAATACTGCATGGCGGTATGCAGAGGGCTGCAGTGCTTACAGGGTTTATGTTAACTGACAAGATTTATAGCTGAAAGCAAAGGTGAGATCAACTACTTATAATGATGAGTTCAGAATTTTTAAAAAATCACTGCACCCTCAATGCTAAGCAGACCAATGACCCATTACCAGTCCACAACTGGGACACTCACAGTCATGAAGTTATGTCACGTAATGTTTCCTATGTACATCATAGGTTATTTAAAGTGCATCGCACATACTGTGGGGCTGCCACTAACTGACCTTCAATGACATGGTTAGTTAAACTCCACATTACACATCGAGCAGTGTATCCTTAGGGACCCCCAGACAATCTGTGTTTCCGCTTCCTCCCAGCTCCAGTAGGGACCACCTGGCAAGGAGCTGGGGGGGGGGGAAGCAAAAACATGGACTGTCTGTGGATTCCCAAGGATTGCATTGGGAAACAATGGATTAAGGGACTGGTTTTTGAGTCAGTCAGCAACTTTTACCAGTTATAGCGATTTCAAATTGATTTCAAAGTTATTGAGATTTTAATCTATCCTCCTTACATTTATGTAAAATTATACATTGTCTGATTTTAAATATTTGAAATGAACATTTTAACAGTTGCTTTTTTATGTGGAAAGTATTATACAGAAATCCTTTTGTACATGCCGCAACCTTCACTGAACCATCTAACACTCAGGCCTGGATCTAGACTGCTCAGGTTGGGGGGGCAATTAGAAATTTTGGGTGGGCAGCATTTCACACAATGGACTGTACTGCAGTGCAGTAGCGGCTTGTTACGAGAGAGATAGGTGGGATTCATGGCCATATTCATATTTTATATTTGAACTAGTTATGAACTCTACATTATGCTCTCATAGTCATCTCTCTGATCAGGAAAGATGAATAATAATAATTATTATTATTTCTGTACTGTGTTTTGGATTGAAGTGTATGCTAACCAAACATAAATTTAACAAACATAAGCTTATCTACTGGCATATTAAAGGCAAATTTGGAACTCAAACTCATGAACTGGTATATAAGAACATAAGAGCGTACCATATGTAACATGAACACTAATGTAGTAGAAAGATACTCCTTAAAGAGAAAAAGCATTAAAAGCTAATTACCAAACCATAAACAAACTGGCTTTGCAAACAAAGATGGAAGCGACCTGCACCTTTGATGGAAGATGGAAGCGACCTTTGCGCTGGTGCAAAGTGGCCAGGGAAGGTGTAACATTACTGCCCGAACCGCCCGCAGTAGCTGCCCACAGGGAAGGTGTAACATTACTGCCCGAACCGCCCGCAGTAGCTGCCCACNGGGAAGGTGTAACATTACTGCCCGAACCGCCCGCAGTAGCTGCCCACAGGGAAGGTGTAACATTACTGCCCGAACCGCCCGCAGTAGCTGCCCACTTGGTTCGAAGGCACCGGACCCGAAGCTTGGTTCTTCAAGCTAAGAGCAGCTGTAACTGAACTGCTGGCAGCAAGCTTTGATTTGGGAATCAAAAATTGTTGGGTGCTGTTTATGGTTGTGTATGACTAATTTAAGTAAATTATAGCAAGTAATCTATCTAACCAGGCAAATTTATTTATACTGAGCGCTGACAGGGGTTGCCAACTCTCACCCATCTGGGGTGACACTCATGCTTTCAGGCTCTCACACAAGAAATCTTATGGCAAATCTATATTATTCCATTATAAACCTAAAATTAGCTACATAAAAAGCATTCAGGTAGTTTGCAAACCCTACAGACTATTTACAAGGCAATAAAACTGCTACATACATGTAAATAAATGCATGTGCATGTGTGTCCAGATTTGTCTCAAACTGAAAATCTCACTCCAGCCAGCTGACCAACACTGGCAACCCTGCGCTGATATCAACGTTAGTAAACAATTGTTTCATGCAGTAATGCCCCCATATCCACGGGAGATACGTTCTAAAGCCTACCACGGAGATTCAAAACTGTGGATAGTCACTATAAAATAACTTGTTTTTTGTGTACTTGCATAACTATGGTAAAGTTTAATTTACAGGTGACTCTGAGACCGTGGTTAACAAATCAGCAGATATGGGGGTTCCACTATACTATTCTATTGAGCTTTGTAGCCAACAGTAATGTTAACTAGCTAGCTATTTATCTAGGAGTTAACTAAACTACAACTAGCAAAGATCTTTATTCAACACAACATTACAGCAAACCACAACAGCAAAAGATACATTTTAACAAGAAGGAGCTTTAAAAAAATTCCTTTCCCTCTTTCACAGGTGACTACAAATGCTCCACAGAAGAATATCTGATGGGACAAATGAAATAAACATGACTGGCAGATTCAGATGGCGCAGGCTAAAGTTGACCAATTGGGTGGGCAGAGCAGAAATTTGGGTGGCCAATGCCCACACCTGCCAATTTCTAGATCCAGCTGTACTAACACTATACCTTATGATCAATCTGGGAAGAAAGGTTTAGGTCAGGGCTACTCAAATCATGGTCCTCAAGGGCCAAGCACTGCTGGCTTTCAAGCCTTCCTTCAGTTGTGAGCCAGGTGTGAAGCCTCTGGCTAATAAGAATCAGTAATTATTAAACTAAACTACCTGGAGGAACTTAAAACAAGGCCCGAATTTAGAATCGAGGTCCAGATTTGAAAAGCCCTGGTTTAGGTAAAAGTACCTGGCAGAAGACATAATGAATTAATAAACAGACCAGCAGGTGGTGTAACAGTGTTGGACATTACCTTGTGACTGATGGTTACAAGTTTTAGTTTTAGTTTCAGGAAGAGCCCTCCTGTGGTACTTAAGGAAGGGACTCAATATGAAACATCCCAGGAAAACGGTGAACTAAAACAGAAATATCGGCTAACCAAATAAACGCAATTAGGTAATGACAGATATCAGAAACTTAATTCTGGTCACTTTACAATAAGGTAAAAATGTGAAAATGTTAAGGAAACTCTTTTAAAAAAACAAATGTCATGTCCTTTTTTCAATAAATAAAATTGCTGCATTTCGACAAACTCTGGACACAATAGTATATAAACTAGCTACGGCAATAAACAATTTTCAGCTGATACAGAACAATTTAACACCCATTTCCTTACGTCACACAAAGCAGAATGCAATCCACGGGGAAGAGTGAAATCAGTGGCAATTTAACATCTCCCCCCTCAATGAAGAGCACTTAATGGTCTATCGCACAAATCCCATTTTGCGTTTTGTTATGGTCTTAAGTAGCGGACAGTCGTGGTTATTGGTTGATAATCACAAACGACACGTTCAGAATAAAAATCGAATGATTGCAAATATAACACAGTATCTATGTGGTTTTGTACCATCAGCCATGTAGCATAATTTCAGCAAAATATTAATATTCATTCTTACATTCTAAAACAAAAATTTTATGCAATTTACTTTTTCGGATATTAACGCGTAGCACAAAGCATACAGAAACAAGCAACCCCACAGCAGAAGCGCACTACGCAACGTTAACCCACAAGTCTGGATAATGCCATCTGCATCTACAGCCCATAAAATACAAGCGTAATATATGACATATCCCCATAGTCATTAAAATAAAAGATCAAAGGACTAATTGCGCGATCGAAGCACCTCGACAGCAGCTCCTGTGTATTTGCATGTCCCATGGGCATAACGCCAAGTCTCGCGAGATCCGGTATCCAGAGCATAGTGGCGACGAGAGTTGATGTGGGACGGAGTTAGTTTGTGTTGTCGAAGAAGGAGGAAGGGAAAGAGATCAGAGAGAGGGGGGGGGTCGGCAATAGAACAGTGCGAGTGTGAGAGCAATCGGGGGAATCCAATATGGCATCGGGCGACACGCTCTACATCGAAACAGACGGCTCAGAGATGCCGGCTGAGATAGTCGAACTCCACGAAATAGAAGTGGAGACCATACCGGTGGAGACCATCGAGACGACGGTGGTCGGCGGAGACGATGACGACGAGCACCACCAGCCCATGATCGCCCTACAGCCGCTAGTCACAGACGATCCGAACCAGGTTCACCATCACCAAGAGGTGATCTTAGTGCAGACACGGGAAGAGGTAGTCGGTGGAGACGACTCAGACCTCCGTGCGGATGACGGTTTCGAGGACCAAATCCTTATACCCGTCCCGGTCCCTGCAGCCGAGGAGGAATATATCGAGCAGACTCTGGTTACCGTAGCCGGGAAGAGCTCTTCGGCGGGCAGAATGAAGAAAGGGGGAGGCGGCAGTGGGAAGAAAGCGGGTAAAAAAAGCTACCTTAGTGCAGCAGAGGCCAGCGGAAGAAAATGGGAACAGAAACAAGTGCAAATAAAGACTCTGGAAGGGGAGTTTTCAGTTACAATGTGGGCATCAGGTAAGTGCACGATTTCATTGGGAGAACTGCTCTCTCCACACATTGTTTTCCGTCTACGCTAACAAAGCGGGCCTTGCAAGGGCGTTGTCCTCCTGTGCGAGACTGGCTTTTGATGTCGTGGGCTAGGCCGCCGTCGGCAGTTGCTTTTTAAACGCTCTCCGTGCAGCCCTTAATGTCGCCTGATTCGAAATGTTTTTGTTTTGAAGGGAAGCCATGTTTTTTTATGCGTTGATGGGCGCCGCCATGTTCCCCCCGGTCCAGTATGGCGGCCCGAAAAAATGGCGTTGGTGCGGCCGGGGGAAAGATGGCGGCGGGTGCGCGAGCGAGCGAGCGCGCTGCTGCTGGCTCGCGGGGTAGGCCGCAATGGCGCAGTTTAACGCGGAGGGAGATAACGGTTAGTGGGGGGGAGGGGGAGCTAGGAGCGGGAAAGGCGACGAGGCTTTAACATAACCTCACCGCGGTGGGTAGCCTTCAAACCTCCTCAGTTCAACCGGAATTTGAAATTTATATACATATGTATGTTAAAGAATATTTTAGGTTAAAACTTAATAGGTAAGCGTTTAGCTACTTAGCGGTATTTGACCAGTTTGAAGGGGACTCGCGCGACGCTTTTGGTCCTATACTTAGCTACATGGGTAACTGAGTTAGCTGTGTATTTGCGGTTGTGGTGGCCGTTATAGTTATGTTTTGCCAGCTGGTTAGCAATTTTATCTTTTATATCCACACTTTCCTACACATTTTTAGATGTTTTTTTTTTTTTTTTCTATCAGTGACACCCTGCTAACTAACATTATCGGTCTGTACATTCGGCGGCGTGCGGATAAATCACCGCCAACTTTGAAATATTATATATTGTATTTTTTGTCTGGATATTCCTCCGAAAGTAAGAAATGTTTTTGCGAACGCCAACACATTTTTATTTTATCAATGAAGAATAAACAAATGTCTTCTTGGACATTACATATTAATAAACTTGGAGATTAATCAACTTTGTCCAAAAGTGACATGTATGTGTGTGTGTGTATATATATATATATATAAATAATATGCTGGTAAAGTGTTTGTTCTAAATGATCACTGGGAAACAATGGATGTTAACACTTCGGTGTGTTTCAAGACCAGTCCCAGAGGAAAATAACTTAAGCGTGGAATCCAGCTAACCACTGATTTTATTCCAAATAATTCGTTGAATTAAAATGAAGTATTTCAGTGGGTGACATTTTAACTCTGACGTGGTAAGAAACAAATTGTTTTTTGTGGTGTTCCTTTTAGCATGGAATACTTATTATTAAAATGAGTCGCTCCTTGGTCCGGTCAGAAATTCTGTGATGTTGGTAGTTTAAAATATTTCTGTGCCACTTTGCTGCCTGCGCCAGATGCGAAATTGTCACCTACACCAGATCAGCTCTAAGCATGAGACGTGTGCGTGAGCGTTCACGGAAAACAGGTTTAATGATTTGGACTTGGAGTTCAAGATTTCAGCATACGGACATTGTATTTACACTCCATCAAATTTGCTATGTCCTGTTACGGATTTCTTACGTATTTAAAGCTGCACCTGTCATGTTTCCTCTGGCCTATTATATGTAAAGCTGCCCCCTGTCATTGTAATATGACATTTTAACGTCTAGAGGTCTACTTTGCTGCTTTTTAATAACATCACAGATGTTAACAGTTAATTTGTTGTTTCTGTGTCCAGTTGGATGGTTGTTCCCCTTCAATCTCTGGTCAAAGATCAGTAGTTCTTTTTTTTTTTTTTTTTTTTTAAACAAAGCCTAAAATTAATCTCAGTTTGAAGAATATTGGTGCTGCTTGCTGCAGTAGAATGGTTGTGTTGATAAGCAGGATAAGTTGATTTTTTTGTATATGCTGAAAACAATACCTCTTATTTTAATAGGTCTTGGAATGGAATGATTATATTCACAGAAGAGAAAACGAAGCAATGTAGGAATCTCTGTATATGTGAAAGGACTGGCACTCCATCCAGGGTATACCCCACAATTGTCATGTGCTGCCTGACCTAGACTCCAGGCCTGGCTGGGACACTGACCAGGAAAAGTGCTTAGAAGATGGATGTTTGTAAGAGGGAGTGTGTGTAGAAATTTTTACATATGCAGAATTGGGCTGTAACCGGATTCTTTCATTGTATGTTAAAAAAAAAAAAGGTCACGCAGCAGTAAACAAGTAATTTAAAGGTAGTCTTCAATGTAGTGATTATTAAATTGCACTAGTGAACAAAAGGTCCCTTTCCAATGTTTTATTATTTAATCTAATTTATCTTAAACCTCCCTGCCATATTACTCTGTGGTGGGTCATAAAGTTAATGTATATGAACTAGTAATGTTTTCCTCCACTATTTTGTTAAAAAAATCTTATTTAATGTGATACTGGTTGGTCATTTTGAATTATTTCTGTATGTTCAGTAGGTACAGAGCCTCTCTGCTGTTTCGTTGTATTTGTCCATAGAAGAATTTTGGTTTCTCTTTCAAGCTGGCATTTTCATTTCCTCTCTTGGGCCTGCAAAATAGTTTGTGCGCAGAGGTGCGATGTGCTAAATGCATAAAGTAGCATTGAAAAGTAAAGCTAGGGTAATACTCTGCACGGTTAATAAATCATGTCAATAAATCATGCTTATTCCATTTTTAATGTAGGAAATGTGTTTTGAGGAAGTCAAGCATAAGCTCATTGGTTACCCTAAATAGTATGCTGAATGCTGTAGTTGACAGTGCACCATGAGAACCTGCTTATTGTGTGTGTGGGGGGGTGTACTGCTCATTACCACTGGTGTTTTTTCATTGCTAAATCGCTGTTGGCAGGAAGGGTGATAAGCTGTATGGTGACAAGTATTAAATTGCAGTTGTACTCATTTGGCAACTCTGAGTAAGCCAGATGGTAATTTTAGTTTTCACGTTGACATTTTGTGTTTTCGTCAGTTCACTGTTAAAAAAAAAAAAAAAGTAAATTCATATCAATTGACAACTTGAAATGCACAATATTAAAATTACTAAAATCTTGTTCTGTGGCAACTTAAATGTTTGGGCAACATGGTTTAGTAATGATAGAGCTGCACATGTGCGTAACTGCAAGCGCCACTGCTGTTATTCCTGAGTAATATGCTATTTTTATTCCTAGAATTGGCATAAATAACCATGCAAGTCAGTATGCAGTGATAAATGCATTTGTGATGCATTTGATATGACATGTATTGCTTTTAGTGTTCCTTGCTGGAGTTTGTGAAGTGTACATTTCTGCTTTTCTTTGACATTTTCAAACGCTGTCTTTCAAAGTTGCTGAAAAATATGAAAGGGGGCACTGCATTTTTGTTTATGGATTTGGTAAAAGTCAGCTGGCAGTTCTTGCAATGAGTAAAATTTTCCAAATGTGTGCCAGTGTAAGAATTGTCTGAGCGTAAACATAAATTTCCGTTTCGAAATGAGCCAATCTTCAATTTAGCGAGGTGGAAAATGGCGAGGGCCTCAGCTTGGCCCAGTAGCCCCTGAAGGCTTTGTGGTGTTTCCAGACCTTGCAAGCAAAGCAAGACAGCCCGGTTTGGCTCACTCGCTTCCCTGTAACATTTTGCATGTGACTGCAGATTTCAAAAGCTAGAAATGCCTCCACTTTGCAGAAGAGGCTGATGAGCAGTGTCAAGTCCTCCTTTAGGCCAAACTGCAACCAGGATGCAGTTGCAAGCCAATGATTTTGTTTTTTGTAACTGCTGAGTAAACTGAATTCACAGGAGTTGTGATAATGCCAGGCATCATGGTCCATGTAGTTTTAATATGACCCCTGTATCTCACATGATTGGATCATTCTCAGTGTGGTAGAATCAATCAGTCACAGCACTATTTATGCAGTGTCTGATAAAGTGGAGTTAACAGATCACTCCCCACACAAGGGGATTTTCTTTTAGTCAGTGTCTCGTGGCTGGTTGCTACATCCTAAATATGTAGAGTTTGAGAGTAACAAGTTTTTCACACGTGTTTGATAACTACGAAAAAAAGCACTTGGAATAAAATCACTGATTCTCTCATCTTATGTTACTGCACATTAAACAGGTCTGTGGGTTAGAGTTAGAAATTGAAACCTTTTGTCATTGCACATGATGTTTAGTGTATGATACTCCATGGTGCTGACAACATACGAAGAATATCATACATAGATGCATAATTAATTAAATTTCTGATAAACCTACATGTATACTCAAGCCATTTCAGGCCTTTGAATATATGGATTGAGTGTCAGTAACCGAAACCAGACATTTTTCCTGTTGTGGGTTTCATTTATCAGAAACAAAACAATCTTTCATACATACATACATACATACACCTTCAGTGGAGGGTTCTCAGGGTCTGATGTTCAGTGGTAGTAAAAAAATATATATATATTTGCCCAAATAACTGTACTGTCAGTATAAAAGTATAACGCATGACCAACCTCATACCAAATAAGATATTTTTGAAGAGGAGTCTTATTTGAATGGCAAAGTATTTGTATTGGTGTGGCATCGAGTCAGGTTTACCTCTGTCTTTTGCCCCCCTCCCAAAATAAGATGTGTGTGTGGCTGGATAGTTGTTTTTTCTGTAGTATATTTTTAAATGTAAATCATTATCGTCAGTTAAACAAGATACAGATTAATAACTCTTGTCCGTCATGTGCTGTACCCATTTAACACAGTGCAGATATCTGACTAGCTGTACTAATAAGGACAGGATTTAATTTGACCTGCAGCAGGCGTGTTCGTGCCTTCACATGATCAGAGTCCTTTCTGTCATTTGGAGCTGGGGTGTTGGTCACCTTCATTCTTTGCATTCTAAGTCCTGTTAAGGGTTAGTATTTGAATGTTGCTCACCCAATTGAAACATGCAACACACTCTCACCATGCCTTTAGGCTTTCCTTAGATGGTGTGTCTACATTAAGGAGGTAATGGCAGCCAGCCATGTTCGGCATGTGAAGTTTTTCGTCTGAATGGCTGTTCATTAATTATGCAATTAATATAATCAAGTGGCACCCAGCTGTCTAGATAACAAACAGTAGTGTAGCAGTGTGACTAAATGAATATAAATAGTTACATGTATTTGTACTAAATTGGTAGCAAAACTTTCATAATATTGTCTGAAAATGTACAAATTTTGCCAATAAGCAGGTGGGGTTCTTAAATCTGCATGGGTTTTGACTTGCCCAAGTTAAGTGTAAAATGCTGAATTTGCATTTTGTTCGCATCTTGAAAGCTTTCATTTCCATATAGTGTTCTTAGGATGTTGTACAATAGTTGACTTGTTATAGTGTGATTTAACATCTAACTTTATTGTAGGAGAATAAACCAGCATCATTTTGGTACTTTCAGGACCAAAGTCTGAATTGACTGGTAACTGGCGAGCTGATTACAGGGGAACAGTATCAAACAAGGAATTTTGTAATTGTTTATGCCTTATCAATTCAGTAGACAGACTGTCAGCCATGGAATGTAGTTTTTATTTATTGATTTTTTTTATAGTAATCGGTGATGCAAAACTAGTGATTGTTTAGATTCATCAGAGGTCTAAATACAAATAGGTTAGTTTTCAATTTTTACATGTTTCTTATTGCTGGGAGTTGGACATGACTACAGCAGTCTAAAAAGAGAGCTCCTATTTCTTGTTAAATCGATTTGTACAATCCTATTTTAATTTTTATTTATTTTTTTGCTGCATTCAAGCTGAACGCTAACGCTGCCACTCAGCGGGTGTGAGCACATGCTGTGTGACGTCATGCGCATACCCTTTGCAGTAGGAGCAGCGTAAGAACATTAGATAAGAGGGTGATGATCTGGAAGTATTTTACGCTTTTAAGGCTATTTCCGCACTAATGAGTTAAACTTCTTTTTATGGGAGTTTCCGAAAGAAAAGATCTGCTTCCGCACTACTTGTTATTAGTGTTGAAAAAGACTTGTGTTCACACTGCTCAGTCTAAAAGGCAAATGACGTAGCTTACAACTACACAAATAATTAGCTTTAGCATTTGAGGAATTGTATGTATTGTATATGAGGGGTTGTTAATGTATATATTTGACATTTTCTCAAATGTGTCTCAAACACAAAGCCGTACATAAAAGGAGCCACCACAGCAACAACACAGGGATCCAGAAATGTCCACTCACTCTCTTCCCCTCAGTTTCAGTGCACTCTTGTCTTACTCTAATGTTCAGTGGCTGGATATCTTTATCATAAGCTAGAGCTGAGCCAAATATGTTTTGAGCTTCACAATAGTTGTGAACAGCATACACAGTAGACAAAACATGATTTATCTGCATCAAGTAAGCAAAACAGCATATGCCAGGTACTGACGGTCCTGTACATCCTCCATGTCCACATGTCTAAACCCATGCGTTCACACTGATGCATTTACGGGAAGATTAGCTATCAGACAGCCGTGAAATTTTTCTCCACTTCTGGGGAAAAAAAGATCCGCAGTAGTCTGGACAGACAGCTAACTTGGAAGAAAATTACTTGCTAAATGAAAACATATTAATGTGGACATACCCTGGGAACAACTCTTAGCACAGCGATTTGCAATCTTTGTAAAAACAGTTATGAGAGGTGGAAGGTAGCATTTAGTGGAAAATTCCACTAAACGAAGTGCATGCAATTTTGTGAGAACACAAGTAATATGGAAAAAAAAAAACAGTCGCTAGCTTGGGCTGCTTTGCGCACTCGCTACAGCTTGTGATACACAAGGGGCTGCTATTGCAATGAAATGTAAGTGACACTGTTGCTGGTAGGAGAAAAATTTGAGGGGCATTTTAAGCATTCACCTCTTGCGTATTCTCTCGGAAGATATTCAAATTGAACTGCAAATGCCTCAAAAACGCTTAAAACAGGATGTACAAACTAGGTGGAGTACGTTATGTTTCTGGTAGCCTAATTAAAGATTTCTTGGCATACATTTTTTATTTGTATTTACTAGTTTAAAAGTATTAAATGTATAAAGTTTTAAAATATTTATATGTTCTATATATATTTATTAAAAGTTCCTGTATCAGCAGAATCGGATCGGAACTGAAAAAATGTGAATCGGCCCATCCCTCCTTATTATGTTGTATGTACATAACTTAGCCACGCGTGCTTTATGGATCTGTTTTCAGAACATTCTGGGCTACTCCGATATGTCATAATTTGGTGTGTAAATGCTGACAGTCTTCATATCATCCTTTTTATGAGGAAAGACTACTTATACCTACTTCTCAGTTTTTAGTGTCATCTAATATAAACATTTGCAGGCATTACAAATGTAATCTCATACATGTATAAATGTTGAGATTAGTCTCTCTGTGAGAATGCAGGGGTTTCATGGGGGACCTTTCTATGGCTTAGAATTGTGAAGGAATACATGGTTAGTTCCAGGTGGAAATGGCTATCTTCAATTTTGCATGCATTTGTTAACTTGTTGGTGTTATCTGACAGACAGCAGTTCATGGTTTTATATATTTTATTACTTTTCAACATCGGAAAGAAATAGAAATAGAAAAGCATTGCTTTGTGTTTATCCAGTGGATCATAAACTGACATAATAGACGGTTTTAGAGTCTAATGCTGAATGTTTATCACTATTGTTTGTCTGCCTACATATACTATGATTGGTAAAGTGAAATTTGAGAATGAAACTTTTAGTCTGCATTTTAGCCTCAAACAACAAATCCCCGCTACAGCACATCATTGTTTTTACATGTGTAAAGTGTTCCAGTTATACGATGGGTACGTTCTATTTCAACAGTTTTGATAGAGCTCGATATCAGTCATACTTAAACTTTTGTGAATAAATATTGCGAAAATATCAGGTAATTGTCTTCTTAATGGAGCATCCTGTTTTATTTATTGTTAGTGTTTTTCTATCCCTTTAAGGAAAATAAGCTGTTGTAATAAATTATAAAATATTTTTTTCCCTCAGGAGGGTAGTGAGTGGATCATTGTGGAAGCAAATATGCAGTTTTCCGGCTAATCTGAAAAATTTTGATGTTTTGTTTATTATTAGAGATGTGTTTAGATGGAAAATGTTTCAAATATATGCCTCATTGCGTACTGGATTACTCTGGAATACTTTTGCATACAAAGATGGGTGCAATTAATGGGTGTCGAGTTCTAAGGGTTGAACAACATTCTAACCCAGTGTTTCTGAAGCAGGTCACTGGGAAACCCCAGATGGTCCATGTTTTTTGCTTTAGCAGGGCCTGGGGTTCCCCGAAGACCGGATTGAGAAACACTGTTCTGTCCTATTGAGATCCTATTGAATTGTGGTGTAATTAACACTGCTGTCTACTTTTACTCTATTCCAGATGACAAAAAGGACATCGACCATGAGACTGTGGTGGAGGAGCAGATAATTGGGGAGAACTCCCCCCCGGATTACTCTGAGTACATGACAGGGAAAAAACTCCCCCCGGGGGGCATCCCCGGCATCGACCTCTCAGACCCCAAACAGCTGGCAGAGTTTGCCAGGTGAGTTCTTGCACGGGCGTTTCTGGACTGAACCCGTAGCCTGGCCGGGGAACTCGTGGGTCGTTTGCATATGTAGGTTGGCTTTTTGGGCTGGTGGGGGCTTTTCAGTAGCTGAACTGCCTGTCACCCATACGGTTGGCAGGCCTTGACTTCATTGATGAGAAAGGGAATTGTCTGTGTGATTTTTGCAAATTGGCACTTCAAAATCAGACCACATGTCAGTTTCTGATGTCAGAAATAGGGATGTGTCAGGAGGGCTTGTAAGCTGGGGGATGATAACCAAAACCCCTAATCCCTTCAGAAGGCACAGTTAGGTCTATATAAGTGACTTAAGGTAGAGAAATGGCTTTGTGTAATGCAAAAGATGAACGGTAGTAAGGGATCTACGTTTGTGGCTAATTTGAGCGAGTAACAGACTCAGGGAAACTTCACCCTGTTTTATTATTAACTTAAACCACGGAGTTATTTTATCAGATGTTGGCAAGGGGGATACAGATCTGAACTTGTGTTAAAGTCACAATCCGGATTCTGCCACCTTGCCACGCATGCCTCTGCTGCAGAGCTGTGCATGTGATTTCGTAGCTGTTCCAACATGCATTTCCTAAAGCATAATAAGGGAAAATCTTCCTCTTGTGGGAGCAACAAATAGCACGGTGCAGTTCGTTAGTCACACCCACTGCTTACATTCTACATTTAAACTTTGCGTGTGACACCTTGCTGCCTGTTTAATTGCTTCACTAGAAATGAAATCACTGGGTGTCACTTCTTCAGAATTGTGTTTTGTGGCCCAGTCACACACCAGATGGACAAAAGTGGACGTATGGGCAGACATTTTCAGATGGCTGTCCCCAGGGGGGGGCTCTGCTTCCCCAGATGGAATTCTTTGCCAGAATAATAATGTCCACATTCCTGCTTATTTTCCTTAAACTGCTAAGTGTGACTGCCTGCTGCAGATGCCTCATGTCGGCAGTGGTGGATAGAGGTGGATTTGTCCATCATTGGCATTAAGTCATTTATCTGACAAGTTGTTTGACTAGGGTGGTCTGGATATGATTTATACCAGCAGATTAAGCTGATGGGCCTTTTTGAGAATATAGAATGTTACTGACCACAGAGCCATTGAAGTTCAAACACAATAGACAGTATACTACAGTTATCTTTACTGGTTTGGTCCAAATCCAGAACGTCCTTTAGGATTGCTGGATTGATGATATACTGGTCATGTCCAAATACGTTTGAATCCCAGTCATAAAAATTTGCATACTCCTCGTAGTCTTGCAATGCTGTACTTAATCAGATGTCAACCTTAGTGGCAGAGGTCAGGTGAGAGGTGAAGAAGCCGCAGGAACAGCTTTCCCAGTATCCTCGTTTCAGTGGTCACTCATAACGGCCTTAATCATAAAATAACCTCAGGCATAATTTCAGGATGAATATTAGGGGTAAAAATGGACTGGGGGTAGGGTGGCTGACAGGAGATCCCACCCTGGAAGAGGCTGACAGACTGACCGTTCTCACCCCACCCCTCCACCACAGGATGAAGCCACGGAAAATAAAGGAGGACGACGCACCTCGTACGATAGCGTGCCCCCACAAGGTGAGACCTGCCTACAGCGCCCCCTGCTGGTTCAGCCTGCTGAGCTTGTGTTCCGGTGGTTACAGAGCAGGCGTGTTAGCGTTGGGCTAATAAGGCGATGTTGATTAGCGCTGAATTAAGCTGAGGCCGAGTGGTGGGAATGCTGCACTACATTAACGTGCTCCTGAGAGCTCCTTGATTGTTGAGTGGGTGGTGTACTTCATTTGTGTTGTAGTTTGAGATGCCCTGTCTTTTGAAATATTGTCTTGTGGAGTTGCTTTGATGGGCCCAGTAATGGAGGTTGAATGGTGGGGTTTCTTTTCAGTGGGTAGAATGCTTTCAGTCTCGGTGTCCCAGCGCAGCACGACTGTTGTGTGGTTCTGAGGTGTCCTGGGGTAATTCTGACCCCTTTATGCCTCACAGGGATGTACGAAGATGTTCAGGGACAACTCGGCAATGAGGAAGCACTTGCACACTCACGGGCCACGTGTCCACGTGTGTGCGGAATGCGGCAAAGCCTTCGTGGAGAGCTCCAAGCTGAAGCGACACCAGCTCGTTCACACCGGCGAGAAGCCTTTCCAGGTAGGAGTACGCTCTGAGCAGAGGGGGCTCTTGCATACACTCTACCAAAGGGCATTTTCTCACACCCAAGCAATTAGGCACAATTGATTTATTTTAATTACTCCAAACTTAAAACTGTTGTTCTTCAATAGTATCTTCCAATTAATGGGGTTTTGTAGACGAACATAGGTGAATAGCTCTTAACTGGATGTTAAGACCAGGTTATGTTGGAAAGGCTTTGAGAGCACTGCTCGCTCCTGGGTAATATTTTGGAATCATTTGAAGAAAGTATAATATATTGTGATAAGTCCTAATGATTATCCAGAAATAACTCAAGTTCTGATGGAACCATGTGACACTTCTCATTTGCCTTCTCATTGCCTCTCCAGTGTACGTTTGAGGGCTGTGGAAAGCGGTTTTCCCTGGACTTTAATTTGCGCACCCATGTGCGGATCCACACCGGAGACCGCCCCTACGTCTGCCCCTTCGACGGCTGCAATAAGAAGTTCGCCCAGTCCACCAACCTGAAGTCCCACATCCTAACACACGCTAAAGCCAAAAACAACCAGTGAGCCAGCCGGGGGCAGTGGCCAGGAGAGGAAGGCGCAGGAGGCCAAGGCTCTCACACAGTACCCTGTACACAGCAGCATCTTAACGCAAGTGTTCAGAAAAAAAGAAGTCCGAGATCCCCTTTGTACATTGTTTCTAGGAAAAAAAAGTTTTAAAGAAATTTACCTTAAAGACTTTTTGATAAGTATGGAAATGGGAAAAATGAACTGTAGAGATTAAGCTAACCTTCCCATTTAGCTCTATGAGAAGCTATGTTGCTGGTGTTCGTCAAAACCCACTGGTTCTGGTTACCTGGCACTCTATTCACCATGATGGACTTCGCACCTATACCCAGATGGTTACACCTCCCAAAGAAATCAATTGGTCACCCCTTTGCATAGAAAGATCATTTCTTTTTAATTTTGTATTTTTTTTCCCAAGTGTGCATATTGTACACTTATTTTTGGGATATGCTTAGTGATGCTATGTGTGATTTATTTTTTCCCTGAAGATTGAAATCTGCTTGTGATGGTTCTTCTTGGAAGAGAATTGGCAGTTACTGTACTACATGCATACTTTGAAAGTTTTTTTCCCTTCCCTGTAAAAAGTTAGTTTTATTTTATTTTTTTGTTTCTTTGGGTGTATTCTTTACCGTTAACTCATTTTTGTATAATTGTATCGTACAGCCGTATTGAAATCATGTAGACTTAATAGCAATGTGATTTAGATAGTGTTAACCGATTAAAAACCATTTTAGTCACGACACTTTTATTTCTCCTGCTGTACTGCCAGACGCAAAAAAATTGAAGTGTATGTTTTTTCCCCCCTTACACTGCAAAGCCTGTCCTTCGTTACACATCACAAGAAAACAGAAACGTGGTGCTCCGCTGCAGTTAGAATGTATTGTACAGGCAGCATTAATTAACCCTTGTTAATATGTACATCCCGTGTATTTCAGCGACCAGCAATAAAACGATGGTCCTAAAAGCGCTTATTAGAAGTTTACATTTTAGACGATGCCTATTCTTTTATGGTTAAAGAAAAAAAAAAAAGAAAATCTCAGATACAGATATGTGATGGACGAGGTAACTTTTTTTTTATGCCGTTTCAATGTGCAGTTTCCTTTTTGTTGTGATGTTCTTGCTGCCCTAGTTTGAAAATGTTGGTAAATAAAAAGGGACTGTTCCATTGTTACAGATGAAAATTAAGAAAAATGGCTGAGTGCTGGCAGGGGGTGTCTCTTTGGAAGCCAAATGCTGTGGTGTGACCAGGTGCCCTCCCAGTAGGCCCACTCACTCCTGCTTCTCCACTGGGATATTTTTGACCCTGTAGGATCCCTCCCCTCGATTTTTGGGATTGAAATGTCAGACTGTCCATTCGATGGAAAAGGTCACTCTGTAGGCAGAGAGATCTGAACATTTCCGCAGCTAGCAGGTTGGTTAGGGATTGTGCTGTGAAAGTCACGCCGTTTGTAATTCTGTAATAATGGGTAAATGGATGATTGCTTGGAATATAGTGCAACCTATAAAAGAGGCTTAAATACATACAATTGGCAATAAATGTTTTCCCATAGAACCCAATCCAAATCAAACTTGATGCTGAGTTGGTCTGAGGTCAGGTTTTTAAATGGTATTTGTTTATTATTTTCAGTACAGAAACTACTTGTATGCAAAGTAAGGAAGAGTTGTTTTCATGTTCTACCCTAGTTTGTCTGGAAATGCCACTGGGGCCTTAAGTGTTGGTCTGCCACAGTGGAACAAGGTAACCGCAGTTTGTGGTATTGTGACTTTCCACCGTCTGTGAGGAACCTTGAAGTCCATCTAGGTGCCAAGTTTTGACACGATTGCTCACAGATTGGAGAGCGATGTTTCTGAAGATACCCTCAACGGACCATGCATAGGTCAAAGGGGGGCAAGGAGCCACATGGATGAACCATGAATCATGAGCGGCATGTCTGACACGCGAGAACGTCGTCCACCCTTTTTGTGTCTCCTTCCCATGCTGGATCAGTCACTTCCCAGCTATCTGTGCAGACAAGGTCAAACATACTATCAGCCCTGAGATCAATGTGACTTTATTTTAACTGCAGTACAAGAACAGTCTTGCTGAATCCTTGCCGAAACCAGTCCAAACCCATTTTGCACATACTGTAATTCATCCCAGTTTTAGTTATATAAAACATGTCATGATAATTAAATGCACATTATTTCCAGACCCCAAAACCGCCACCAAGTCTAATGACATGCATAGTATCACACATAGGTTTTTACCTGGGGTAACCATTTCACAGTCTGTGAAAATAAGTCATAATGCATCATAGAAAACCAAGAAGACAGCCTGATCAATCTCACTGCCATAATCACCATTTTATTTAGTCTCCTCTCATGACAATCATACAGTGGACACACCACACAACTTCACAAGCACAAAAACCCACTGGCAAAGAGTTACTTTCAGCAGTGAAAATCTGCAGACCCCCTCGCATACTGCCCTTCACACAAGATAAAACTGAACAAACCAGATTAAAAGGTACTGTCAACCCAGACCATCTTCGTATTTAAGCCCACTGAGGCCCTTGTCCAATTTAAAAACAAAACAATGAAAAAGGCTGAACAATGGATCACCGTGCAAAATACTCACTTTGTATTTCCCTCCCTTAGAGTGGTTACCAGACTGAATTTTGAAGTAGCGCTGTAGAATTAGAAAACTGAAAATTGCGAGCATAGATTCAGTAATGGAGACTGTGCTGACACATTTCAGAGGCCGTTTAGCAAAATAAGCGAAGACCAGTGTAAAAGAGGCTGGCTGAGTGTGTCTGATATAATGATCATTCAGAGGCAGCATTCAGGCTTTATAAGGTGGCAGTGTTAGTCCATGAGAGCTGCCAGCAGAGAGGGATAGTTGGGTGTTCCCCAGCCTGTAACTGGATCCCACGCCGGAGCGGCACAGAAACCCTTCCCTTCTACCTGTTCGTCCAGACAGCCCAGGTGGCATCCTTCGGTCACCTACATTGAAAGACAGGGAGAACTAGAGTCAGCAATACCAAGGAAGGAAATTTGCGTTGATTATGCTGCCATCTGGTGGTCGTTTTTTAAACGAGCATCAAAATTTTATATTTATTCACAACTTGCGTTGCCCTTTGTGCCACCTAGTGGTCGATCTATGAAACTTCAGTGTGATTCACCATTAAAAACAGCCAGTTTACATACGGTTATTCATGTGCACAGCAGACTGAATAAAGTACGCCCATAAATAAGAACAGCTAACTGTACAGAAACAAATGTCAAACTGCACACAAACAAACATGCATTTTATGTCTGACACGCATTTGCATTCTTGGGATACTCACGTCGAAGAGAGCCTGTCCTTTCAGCTTGTACAGGCGAGGGTTGAGGAAGCCCAGGGCAGGCAGCCCCTTGAGGAAGCGCTTGTCATTTATGAGGGACAGCATCCCACCAACTACAGGAGTGGAAGCCTGGTACACAGAACACCATGACTGCACACCCCTCTGTAACTGGCAAGGTGCAACTAACCAAAAGCATCTAGTGGGGTCAGGAAATGCAACAAATGGTTCATGAAGCCTTGTTCTGGACATCACTAGTCAATTATAATCCGATTGTTCTATAAAGTGTGGGTGCATTGTTGATAAATGTATAAAAAGTGCAAGAGTACATGTCAGTACAAGGACTGTTGGTATAAATACAGTATATACAAAACAATACAGAAAGTAGAGAGGTAAGGAGGTGCCACAAACCACCACATGACAAACCACCTCAGAGATGAGAACCCAAGTGCAGCCGTGTGGCAGCTGACACCTCAGCACCGCGCTAGTTTGAATGGAATGGAACATTGCGAAGTTTTTTCCAGTGGCTGCAGTGCCAGTCCTGCCACCAACCCCCAAAGTTGGAGGACCTGTTTGCAAGGCTGGATGTAGATTAACGTCATACCCAGCACAGAGCGTTTGCAGATTAAGGGCCTTGCTCAAGGGCTCAACGGAATAAGATCACTCCTGGCTTTCATAGGATTCAAACCGGCAACCTTCCGATTGCTGGCACTGATCCCTAGCCTCAAAGCCACCACTCCGGAAGTATAGTGAGCTATTGACAGCAATGAGGTATTTATTATGGAGGTAGGGGAAGGGGAAATTGTTATGTATTTTTTGATACTATATTTCTCCTTTTCCTGTACAAAATATTACAAAACGATAAAAAAGTAGACAGGACTGTATAGCAAGTGCCAGGAGAATGTAAGGACAAACACAGCACAGCGCCCCCTTCGGCTGACTCACCGATGTGCCAGACACCCACGGGATCGGCACCCTGTTGGATACCACCCAGTAGTTGTCTGAAAGGGCCGCAATGTCAGGATAGGCCCTGCCGCTGGTGTTGAAGTACGTTTTGGGAGGCAGGGCTTGTACGGCTTTCAGATAAGCATTAACGGCATTAACCTAAAGGGACGAGCAGGAGTAACGCCCAGTCAGCCGGCATTTCACATCAGTGGGCACACGCACAAAACACACACAAGCCAGTATAACCTGGTAGTCCGGCATCGGGAAAACGTTACTGAAGCCGCCCCCGCTGATGTAATCTGTGACCTCATAGGTCACTTTGAAAGGGTTCTTGAAAGACGTCCCACCCACGGTTGTCACATAGGGACTGAAAAGAGAGCAAGACCAAGTGTTTATAATACATGACAGATTAACATCTACAAGCAAACAAGAAAGTCTGTGAGCAGCCAATATGCTGGCTTGGGAACGTCAAGCACGAGTGATTGGTACTTTTCAAAGTCTACATTTATAAATATTTTGAAGAAGAAATCAATTTAGCTGATTCTGAACTTGAATTACAGCTCACATTGTGGGACTTGAGAGACTGGGAGAAATGCAACAATATGAAACAAGACTGCATGTTTCTCTTATTAATCTTACCAAGAGGCCATGTGTCAGTTACATCAGCTTCTATTAAGCCCAGTCACTATGGAATCTCAGGGTTTATTTTAGTAGCAGAAACAACCAGACATCATCATGGGTAGAGCAGGTCAATATATCAACTGTGCAAGACTGAAATATGAACGGTGACGCTTACCTTGACGCTGGAAAGCTCGGCCTGAAGGCGTTGCTCCCTTTAGACAGCTGTCTGCATCCTGCCCCGCTGTCACCTGAATGAAAACAGCCAGCTGATTCCTATCCATGCTCTCTGCAAAAATCAGCGGGGGCACCAGGTCGCCTCTCATGCGAACAGTTTTTGCAGAAGCTCCCCCAAATGAGTGCGCTTATTATGAACAAATGTCATGTCAACTTTGCTGCTAACCAAGGGATGATGCTGCAGATAATTGTCACACACTGTCAATACTATTACGACAGGATGCCAATGTTTCTATGGTAACATTCAGTTGCCATAGGCTCAAAGACCATCCATTCAATTATTTATGCCCCAAGTCAAAATAGAAGTGTTTGATGCTAAGCTAACATCCAATCAGGAAAGATCCCTCTTTTCCATTTTATGACGCCATTTTAAAAGTCACAATAATCTCTCAAAGGTGTCCTTGAGAGGAGGAACAACCACAACTCTGTGCAATCTCACGGAGAAATATTTTCACTCTAAAATGAAATCACTGACCAATGTCAGCTGGAGTGATTGACCTGATGCTTTTTCGACATGAACATTCTGCCTGGCGCTGCTGGTTCACACACGGATGGTTCATAGACCAGTTAGCCTGGCTCACCAGAGGCGAAGAGCATGGAGATGCCCCTGACCCCGGCCTTCATGAACTCGGTGTTGATGCGCGTCATGTAGGAGGCTGCCAGGCTGTCCTCGTCGTCACCGTAGCTGATCGTGTGGACCCAGGGCACGGACGACATGTTGCTAAGCAGCAGCATCCACTGCAGGAAGGGCTCCTGGGACTCGTGACGACCTGGGAAAAGCAGGTGTGGCCCACAGGCCTTTTCAGTGGGAGGCGGAGCCAAAGCGGAAACTCCGCCATAATTGCAGGAACGGAAAGTCAGAAGGCTGCGTTTCTGCGAGTGGCGGCCAGCTTTCTGGACAGGAGAGGCTGTGCTTCCCTGTCTAAACAGCTAAAGGATTCTGTTATGTAACAGAGGACATTCATTTCATTTCCAAGATGAAATTTAATGAAAGATATTTAATTAAAGGTAGCTTTACTGAAAACAATTAAACAGACTGCCTGTCCAATTA